CGAAGATAATAACGGGTCACCCTGTATATGCGAGTGTTTTAATTTAATTTTAATTTGGAGGATTTCGTTACGAATAAGCACAGAATGAGTTTATTTCATGGGAATTTGTTATTTTAGTGTCTATTTTTCCATTTTAGAATTGTTCTTAATTGTATAATTTCTTGTCATTTAAGTGCTGTCTGGTCATTTTGCAATAAGGACGTTGTTATCGCAAAAGTTAATTGATTTCAAGACGCACGTGATGCGCTGATAACAGAGGATGCAGGTGCACAATTTCTTTTGCGCTTAATTTTGTTATGGAAGAGGAGGTACCTCAAGCGCTCCTTATTGGCGTTACATTTGAATTGGCGACAGTAGGAGTATGATGGTTTTGTAGAAGTGGTTGTCTGATAAATACAAAATTAAAGAAAGAAACGCAAATGGCAAATTGGCCAAGAACTTCAACCTGAGCTGCTTCATTGGTTGCTTTCCTTTTTCATTGATAACAGATCCCGTTTCTTCGAATCTATCGACCAAATCTTGAACATAGGCATAGCTTAATTTTTATTTTTTTTGTTAATTATTAAATTTTTGTTAAATTGTCTTAATGAATATTGACTTTATTGGTACCACTGGAAAGCATTTTTCAGTAGCTTTCCAACGATGTGTCACAAGTATGGGGTTGCCATTTAGGATTTTTGAAGAGGGGGGGCTAGTGGGGGTTATGGGAAGTGGGGGGTTGTCACTCATAACGTCATTCTGGTTCCCCCTCGATACCCCCGAAATGGTTTTGCGCGATTTTCAATATCTTCTTTAGTTTGGAAAATATGGCCGACTGCAAGTTTTAAAATTTACACCCTGTATAAAAATCTCGTGTCACGGTGTTTGTGGTCGCACTTCTCCGAAACGGCTTGACCGATTTTATGAATTTTTTCGTATATTGTTTCTCTACAGTCTACAACAATACCGAAAATGAGAGCGAGCCACCTTGTAGTGTAAAAATACATGTTGTTAACGTAATTTCAGTATGGATATCGGAAATGATAGTAGGGATATTCTGTATGTTACGCAATTCAAATTATTTCATAAGACCTGGAAATTTTTTTAATTTAAAATGGGCACAGAATGTTGTTGAATTATTTTTTAGTATTATTGTTAGTCGGTAATTGTTTAATTCATTTAATTCTATTTCTTGTCGGTTTGTATGATAAATTTAAAAACATAAATAAGGGAACATATAATCGTAATTTTTGCGTGAGTTAACAGTCTTATTTAATCAGATGTCAGTAATAATTATTATCGAGAAAAAATTAATTGGTTTTGTGATTGAAATACCACGTGCGAGATATGCAATGGAAGTGGTTATCAGTTCGAGTAACGGTGAGGAATTTCGAGAATCGCCGGGGAACAACGACGTTGAATTATTTACATGCAAGTTCTTTTGAGAGAGAGAGAGAGAGAGAGACAGAGATCATAAAGTGACGCTAATTTGCATCGGTAGTCTAGCCGGATATGTTGTGATTTTAAAAGAAGAGAAACGTATTCGTCTTCATGTTAATGTAGTAAGGAAGCAAGTTTGATTTTGTGAAGAATGTATTCATGAAATTCCGAGTTTAGAAAATGTTTATCAAGAATTAAATTAAATTAAATTAAAAGCAGCGTTTGACAAAGTGGAAAGAAAAAAGTATGGAAAATGATGGAAGATGCGAAAATAGACAATAAGATAAAGGGTAGAATGAAAGAATTACATGGAGAGAAGCCTAGAAGGGAAGGAGTCTGATATGGCCATCGGCATACACTGATGACCTAGTAATAATGGCAACAGAGGAAAACAGATGGGAAGATCTGAGAAGTAGTGGGAAAGAAAAGAGATGAAATTAAATGTCAAACAATCGAAGCTGGTGTGATTTGGAAATGGGGAGGAAGAAAAAGGAAAGCGAATTGAATATTTCAAAAACAAGATACAACAAAATAATAGGGTAAATGCTCAAATAAGGGAACTAAGAAAAAGGGAGAACGATAAACAATCTGATAAATTCTCACCACCATATTTCTATACCTGAAGAGATGGTAGCAGGGGAGCGCGTTATAGTTTCCACTGCATGTAACTGAGGCGTTCCCAGACCGCAAAATGCACTTTCAATTTCATAACTTTAAATAATTATTCCAATTATTTTATTCTTTCATAATGTTTAGTATTTTTAAGTTCGTTATGTTCAGTGTTTTTTTAAACTTAACATAAACATACATTTTTAAATGTTGTATAGTTCGGAAAATACTTGGGGTTAAATTGTAGCAAATAGCAATAAAATAAATAGTTTCGTTAATCTAGTTCTTGGGGAACCCCATCTGCAGACAGTTTAGAAATGTTTTCGCAATTGGTAAACCCCACAATAGGTATCCATAAATCTAACCGCGTGCGCGTTTGTAATGTTGAAAATCGAAAGTAGCGTTAGATCTAATTACGGAAAGTACCTAATTAGCTTTCAAGTTTTGTATCACACAACACACCATTCCATCAGAAAGTTTTAAGGGGGTGACAAAGATTAGAAAACTTATTTTAGGTACATGTAATGGGTTAATATGCCCGATTTGAAAATACTCTCGAAATGACTGCTCGCGAGTCGCGACAAATTCAACTGAAAATGTAAAAACTGCAGGTGGTACCAAAATCCTAATCGAACGTTAAGACGTGAAATAAAAGTCTGTGTTAAAGATCCAGATACTAACTGGTCGGCCCTCCGATTATTAGGGGGTGATTCCTAAATGCATATGCGGTTGTTTAGTCGCCTTTTACGACACGCAATGAGTATTCTTTTCCGCCTCTACACGGTTATACACGGTGTCCATTTTTCGAGTGCCACTATGGGGATCTCGTTTACCTACCTGAAGAGATAGAGAGTTGGTTAAATGGGAGCAAAGTTGCGAATTTTCGTGCTGAATAATAATCTGAAAAGAAATTAAAAATATCTTTAGTAGTTTTGAAAATATCGCAAAAAACATTAATCAGGCACTTTTTAATTTTTCGGGAAGAGTGCTTTGGAAAAACAAAACGTTCTTTTATCGTGAACAAAAGTTTGACAGTTTGATACATCTGTCTGGTTGAAGCGTTGGCAGGGAACTAGTTGTGTTGAGATTTTCATCTGAATAGAATTGAACCTTCGTTTTGCAAGAAAATTATAATTCAAATTAGAACAAAATACTCAAGAATAAATAATATCTTCGCAATAATTCTAGCACAAACGTAAATTACACTCTTGAAATAAGTCAACCTTTTGTTCACAACAAAAGAACGTTTTGTTTTTCCAAAGCACTTTTCGCAGAAAATGAAAATTGTAATTTTAGGAAAAGTGTGTTACTGAACCATATCATGTGTGACATACCGTTGTAAAGAGAAAAAAAAACGTAATCTCAAAATGTCAAAATCCAAAACGGCGCCCATAAGAAAAATTAAAGTTGCCACGTGTTTCTCCGTCATCTTAAAAGTTATTGAAAACGAGATGCCATATTCGAAATGGGTATCCATTAAAAAGTGCCTGAATAATGTATTAATTAGAAATATCTAGAACGATTAGTTTACCATGAAAAAATTAAAAACGAAAATCAAAAATTTTCTTTTTTTGAAATATTTTCAAAACTATTGAAGATATTTTAAATTTCTTTTCAGATTATTATTCAACACGAAAATTCGTAACTTTGCCCTCATTTAACCAAATGTCTATCTCTTAAGATATGCGAGATCCCCATAGTGGCACTCGAAAAATGGACACCGTGTATACTATTAGAATCTAAGAATAAAAAACAGTGGGGAAAAATGCCGGGGTATAAAAAGCCGGAAAAAAAAGCAAAGCCGGCAGAAAAAAGGCCGGGGTAAATAAAAGCCGAGGGCAAAAACATTATATATGTATATTCAGGAGATAAATTCTTATTAAATTCCAAAATAAACTATGTATGTACTGCAATAATTTGTACTTTATTTCAAACTGTTTACATATACGTTTACAATAATTTATAATATATCTATAATAATAATAACATTAAAATGAACACGTAACTTATTGGCACGTAAAAAAAGGTGGCCCACTGCCGCGAAAAAAGGTCCGACGTCACCCTCATACCTCCTGCACAAATTATGTAACCTCCTGTGCATATCTTCGTATCTTTCTTTTTTTTTCTTTGCAACACCTAAGTCGTATTGTTTAGTTTTTGTTAAATCTGTAGCGACCTCTAGCTTCATTTTTGATATTAATTTGCAAACGGTGGGATGGTTCTCACCAACTAAATTGGAAAATCTATTGTTCCGTCCTTCCGTCTGATTGTTAGTGCGATTTTGTTCTTGTAGAGTGGCCATAAATCAACGGGAAATATTGGTGCCATGTTTCTCATTCTCAGAGCACCATCATTATTATTTCTAATTCTTCTAAAAGTTCCTGACACATATGTGGCGTCAAAATAATTTAGCAGATCTTCTGCTTCTGCGGGTGCCACCTCATTAATCTAATAGCTCGCATGGAAAATCTGCCACTGTATAGAAGCAAAAATATTTACAATAATAAGTATTTTATTTATTTAATTAATATATTAAATATTTATACCATTGGCTTTTATTTCCGCCGGCTTTTTTTCTGTCGGCTTTTTTTCCGCGGCTTTTTATTCCGTCAAGGGATGTATTATACAATACCTACATATCTTATACTTTGATAATTAATTACTGCAATTTAGGAGTAGGATTAAAGGTGCAAAAAATGTATGTAGGTATGTTTGAGATTAATTTCTGGCGTTTATTAAATTGCCTTACTCTAACTTTTGATTAACCCTTTCGCGACTTATACCCCAGCCGCCGTTTATTTTATGATTGACTTTCAATACACTGCAATAACAATAAATTATAAAGGGAGCGGAAGCGGTTAAGGGGCTTTGTTCTTGTACATTGAAATCCTGGTCTGCTTGGGAATTCTTTGTACTTTGATCGTTGAAATTTCAATAGTTTGTACGGGGAAAAACATGCAAAAGCCACTTACCACATTAACGAAATCTTGAAACGTGATCGCTGGAGTTGTCGCCGTGCGAGCTTTTTCCAGTAGCACTTCGCTTTTTCCCGTTCCCACCCTTTGTCGAAACTCCGGCTGTCCCAAAGCGGTTACCAAATCGGGCCACGGTATTTCGCCAAACCCTTCGCGATCGAACTGGGCGCCGAAAAGAGGTTAATTTTAATTATTCGCGTGGTGTTTTTCTCTATACTTACTTGATCGAAGAACTGACGCCATTGCTGAAAAAAAATGAACGTTAGAATTTTTTATTCATTTCAAAACTTTCACATTAATACACCCCCCAACCAGTAAAGTATTTGGTTTTGTCTGATCTGATCCTGTGATAATATTCAAAGCTTGTTCCTTGATAGACACTCATCGCCCTTTCTCAAAGTCATAAGTACTTTCGCAATTGAACCACCTGTATTTGCCAAATTTGACATTTTTGGGTTTTGGAACGAACCAAACGTTAAACTTAACGTCTACGTTATCTCCCAAAAACGTTACTTTACGTTCTAGTATGGACAAAATAACGTTTTCTACAGATAACCTGCACGTTTAGTTTAACGTTAGTGATACCTACATCACAGGGTTAAATGACTATTTAAAATCAACTTTTGTTTACAGTTTCCGTTACGGTCCCTTAGTACAGGTTATTTCATGCTAGATATTCATAGGATCATAGGGTATTCAATACCAAAAAACATGCATGTTTACAGCAAAAACCGTAAAGAGTATACCTAAGTGGTAATCACAGCAACTGTTACCATAGGTTTAGAAGTTGTGCTTAAATTCCATAGTGTTCATGAGGCATTAACCAAAACTGATTGATTCATTTCTTGGATAAAGGTAACATTGCTACTTGAAAGGGAAAATCAGGTTACCTACATCCCTCAGTAGCTCTCTTTTCAATTCGTTTTCATCGGTTTCGCTTCCCAGATCGGTGTTATCGGTATCATAAACGGGATCGATGTCGTCGGGCTCTCGAAACGAAGCCAACGATCCAGTAATTGTGGCCAAATGTCCCGGTTCAATTCCCGATTCCTCCGATTGCGCTAGGGACATCGTAGTGCCGAGAATTCGCGTCGTAGATGGCGACATGCGATGGGGCCATGCCGAATGCGATAACATTGCGGTTTGTCTCTTAAATAACTATAGCACTACTACTGTGAGATTTTTAACTAATTTGAAAACTCATGATTTCGCGTGGATTATCTCCAGACAGTTCGTTTGAATTTTCGTTTTTTCGACATTTTCATTTAGCGTTTTCACACATTCGCAGTCTGCACGCACGTGTTTTCCATCTCCAACACACGCGAACACACGCGGCTAGTTCGCGATTTTCCGTATTTCCACCAAAGAAGCTGGCCACAGTTTGTTTGTAGTCGTGTCGCTATTTCAGCATCATCCCCTTAGGGAAAGTGTGTTTCGCTTAAAATAGAGCACACCACCTCTGTCCATCCTTAACGCGCAAAGGGGAAAGACGTGAAGTTTTAGAAGGAACGATGCACCGGTTTCGCGCGCAAATGCATCGATTTTCCTTTAATATGTGTACAATCATATGGCGAGGGTGGAAATTATTCGAGTGGGTCTTAACATAGCAAAGGAGCCTGATTTTACTTTTACAGGCAACCTTAAAATTCTGACTCATACCTACGCGTTTTATTGTGGGCGCTTTATTGATTAATAATTTTATGCTGTTAATTGGGCCAATTTGATCTTAAATGGTTCCTTAAACAGTTTGCCATAACTCCAATTTTAAAAACCCGGCGCATTCAAATGTCGTAAACCTTGACAATTTTACGTTTTTTATTATGCAACCGATTTATAAATAAATTTGATCATTACCCAAATTGACTTATATCTGGAAATAATTGACATCTGCCATTCTTTACGTAACAACCTACTGTATATCTAAATACCTGTAATAAAAATTTTAATGCCTTTTTGCTGGTTGTAGGATAGTACTTATGTAGCTATAAGCAACTACTTTTCGAATAATGCTAGTTGATATCTGTCTGCCATATATAGGTTACCTGGTTCCTGGAAGCTGTCCAAACAATCTCAATGGCGTTCCTTCGTTTATTTTGCCAAAGATGCCATTTTCCGTTCTGTTCATACCGTGTGATCCAAAATAACTCCACACAGTTTAAATTTGGCGCGTAAAGTATTTAGTATTTTTTACTTAAGGCGTTGGCAAACATGTTTAGAAGGGGGTTTGTATTTGCCATCATTTGCGTCGTTTCTTATGTGAATTTTTATTTTCTTGCCTGTACCGCAAACAGTTCTTTTCAAAGGTTATATACGGTATGTACATTAAATAAAAAATACTAAAACGTTCGTGTAACCTTCCTTTTCAGGCTCAAAGGCTTTAAAGGGGATGACTTGAGTTTTGGTGCACTGTTTAAAGGCGCACACGTTTAAAAAATGTTCATGTTCGACTCGGTTGTACTTACTACAAATCAACCAAAAATCTGCTGCTTACCATGTTAGTGGAAGTTGTCAAAGATGTAAAAGAACGTAGTCCCAAGAAATCTGATGCGAAAATCTCTGATTATTATTACACACCTTATCGTATAATACGTGGCACAACATTTTGCACGAAGAAGTCGGAATGTTTTCATACAATTTCGATGACGTTCATTTATGAGAATAGGTTGAGGGTCTGAAATAAAATAAAATAATTTTTTTTAATTAATAAATTGTGATTATTGTTTAGTGATCCACTAAATTGATCCACCACAGCTTTTAAATAAATTACATTTGGTATGTTACCAACTTTATAAATATTTTGGGGGGAAATTCAAACTGTCCGTCATTTTAGATCACTCGGTACATGTGAATGTGAACTTAATTTTTAATGAGCAATTGTAAGGTTGATTGTGGATAATTTAAATATAATCTATCAAAGAAATAAACATATATGTATTTCTACAACAGTTACAAGCAGAAGCACTGCAGTTGACGATCGCTATACACGTAAGTGTAAATAGACCGTCTGCGTCGAATAAATAGGCAAGTTATAAAAAGGTTTTCCCAATGTTAGGCAACTCAAATAACACCTGCTGGTCCGAGCAAAGCCGATAGGTATCAATACAAAAAGGTTTTTTTTTAAAAGTGTAAAAGATTTATAGAATGAACCCGTTTCAGCTAAATATTTTGAGTCTTATTATTACTTATGGTTATTTTAAACGAAATATAATTTATAATTTTTTATTCATTTATGCTAATCGCAGTATTAAATCTAGTGATAATTTTATATAAGCCCATGGACTAAGGGTCGCTGTCTCTTTTCGTTCGCGAGTTAAACAAGGAACCGGCGCACAGACAGACAGACGGACAAAACCATCACATAAGGGCAATTTTCCGACCGTTTAAGCTAGGGGAAAGGAAACCCAGATTTGACATTTTCAGTTATTTTCAAAGAGTTTCAAAAAGCGTTTTTTGTTGCTTGAAGAGTTTCTTCAAGAGTGAAGAAATTCTAGAGAACAATAGGAAATTTTCAGGAAATCTAGAACAAATTTTAAGGAAATAAAAGCGTTTCTATAGGGAATAAGTAATGTTACTCATTTCACGTTAATTCAGAGAAATTTTGTGTAAATTTGTGGCAATGCTAAAATTAAAAATGTTGGGAAAATTAAGGGAAATGGTAGCAATTTTAGGCAGTGAATCTTTGTCCCCTAAAATAACCCATAACCAACCGGCCTGAGGGGTTGATCACGAAGGAAATTCTTGTCCCGCATTTAGGTAATTTCAAAGAAATAGTTGGGAAATGTGTATATAGGAAATGGGCGAAATTAAGAGGAAATTCCGAGGAAATATTACACAATTTTGGGGAAAGAAGAGGAAAATTTTGAGGAAAGAAGAGAAAATCTAGAGCAAATTTTAAGGAAATAAAAGCGTTTCTATAGGGAATAAGTGACGTTACTTATTTCACGTTAATTGAGAAAAATTTTTTGTGAATTTGTGGTAATCACAAAGCTTGCCTGTCATGTAGGAAATTTCGAGGAAATAGCTGGGAAATGTCTAGAAAAAGATTCAGATAAAGTTTGTGCAAATTTGTGGCAATGCTAGGAAATGTTGTTTTTAGGCAATGAATCTTTCTCCCTTAAAATAAGCCGTAAGTATACCACCCCGAGCTGGGTTGATCACGAACGAAATTCTTGTCCCTCATCTAAGAAATTTCGAAGAAAGTGTATATGAAATGAACGAAATTAGAGGAAATATTACTTTGGGGAATGGGGTGGAAATTTCAAAGAAATGAAGAAATCCTAGGGGAAAATCGGAAATAAGTAGACCAAATTTTAAGGAAATAGCGGCTTTCTATAGGGAAATATAATGTTATCATTTCACTTTAATTCGAAGAAACTTGGGGAACTTTAAGGCAATGCTAAAAATGTTTGGGAAATTAAGGTTAATGGTAACAATTTTTGTACAATTCAGGAAACCTTTTCTCTTAAAATAAGCAGTGACCAACCCCGAGGGGTTGATCACAATGGATATTCTTATGCCCCAAATCTAGGAAGTTTCGAGGAAATAGCTGATGGGAAATGTGACGAAATTGGAGGAAATATTAGTAAATTTTGGGGAAAGAGGAAAAAATTTCAAAGGAATGAAGAAATTCTAGGGAAAATATTGAAAAGAGAAATGTTGAGGAAGTAAGGAATATTCCGATGAAATCTAGATGAAATTCTGAGAAAATCTAAGGAGGATTTTAAGGAGGTAGGTAAAAGGTTTCTATATAGGGAAGTAGCGTTATACGTGTTTCACGTTAATTCGGAGACATTTTGTGTAAATTTGGAGAAATTTATGGTAGGTACTTAAGGCTAGAAATGTTGAGGAAATGGTGGCAATTTTTAGGCAATGAAGGAAATCTTCGTCCTCTAAAAAATTCATGAACAACCCCTCGGTTAATACAGTGTGTACATTTTTTTATAGAAAAAAATGAAAAAGAAAACGGCATTAACATCAGATGCATGCAAAAATATAAAAACCTTCAAACCTCATCTTACTAAGAAATCATAACATAATTATCCAATGTATCTTTATTTCTACTTCAGCAATAATGACGCCGAAGTACCTACAATAATTGTATATTAATTATTATAAATATAGGTAATTGTACATTGGTACACCTAATCATCGATGTGGATTTACGAAACAGAAACCTCATTTATAGGGTAAAATTGTTCAACGGTAGAAATTAATGGAAGACAAATTCTTTTTCTGATAATAAATACTTAGCCATTGTTTATTTAAAATGCTATAGTATTTATTTTAGTTTTAGTATTTATATACAATATGGTATAAATTAGGGCTGTACAGCAGAGCTGGACAGTATTCGATTTTGTAAATACTTTTTAGTATTCAAATCCTTTAAAGTATTCAAATACTTTATAATTAAATACTTTTATGGAAGCTGCAGTATTTGTTAAAGTTAAATACTTTCACAAATATTTAGTATTCGAATACTTCGCAAAGTATTTGGATACTTCGTAAAGTATTCGAATACTTAGCAAGGTATTTGAATACTTTGAGAAGTATTCGAATACTTCGCATAGTATTTGAATAACCTTCCTTTTTTACCAAAAATCGACTGCACCAAAATGTCTCGGGAAAACACTTTTTCTTATTAATTTTGGTGCGTAGAATCCAAAACAATTCGTACTTTTTCGATCAAACTTCTCAATCAAAAGTTATAGACTAGAAACCAATTTCGAAAGAAAATTCAAAGGGCTGTAACTTTTGAACTAGTAGCCCAATCTTGGAACTGTTTGAAATTATGGTTTCTACAGGCCACATTCTATAAGAAAATTTTTTTTCCGGGTCGATCTGAGACAATTTTTTTTTCGGGGCTCAAAAAAAGGCAGTGTATAACCTTCCTTTTTTACCAAAAATCGACTGCACCAAAATTTCTCGGGAAAACACTTTTTCTTATTAATTTTGGTGCGTAGAATCCAAAACAATTCGTACTTTTTCGATCAGACTTCTCAATCAAAAGTTATAGACTAGAAACCAATTTCGAAAGAAAATTCAAAGGGCTGTAACTTTTGAACTAGTAGCCCAATCTTGGAACTGTTTGAAATTATGGATTCTACAGGCCACATTCTATAAGAAAATTTTTTTCCGGGTCGATCTGAGACAATTTTTTTTTCGGGGCTCAAAAAAAGGCAGTGTATAACCTTCCTTTTTTACCAAAAATCGACTGCACCAAAATTTCTCGGGAAAACACTTTTTCTTATTAATTTTGGTGCGTAGAATCCAAAACAATTCGTACGTTTTCGATTAGACCTCTCAATAAAAAGTAATGGACAAAAAACAAATTTCGAAAAAAATTCAAAGGGCTGTAACTTTTGATCTAGTGGCCCAATCTTCAAACTGTTTGAAATTATGGATTCTACGGGCCAGATTCTATAAGAACATGTTTTCTCGGTCGATCTCAGACAATTTATCTTTCCGGCCTCAAAGAATGGCAGTACTTTTAAGTTATTCAAATATTTGAGAACAATTTAGAAATGTTTAGGGAAAGTTTCCATTGTCACAAAATCAAATATAAAAATCCGATACATCTGAATACCGAACTCGATAGTCTACGTAACTTAAAAACAATAGGGACCTTTCTTATATCCTTAAGACCAATTTTCAAAGCGATCGCACGTTTCTAAACAAGTTATCATGCACACGGACAAACGGATGGTCAAAAATGGATCTGTTCCAAAATCGCTAGGATTAATTTCAGAAAGGCGTACGTATCATGTGCACGACGTACGATCGCTTTGAAAACTGCTACACGTATTCTTAAGGATATAACTGGTATAAGAAAGGTCCTGGTAAGTACCTCCTATATAATACGCTTTTACTCCCCTTAAATTTGTATATAATAGAAATATAAAAAAAGCTAACCCCATACAAAGTATAACTTGATTTTTTAAGTAGTATTAAGCCTTTTATCTAGTATACAATTTTATAGTATTAAGGGTTAATTAAAAAAAATTCAGTTACTATAGAAGGTCTTTATTGTAAAATATTACAGTTTAATCTTCTTCTTCTTCAACAACACCACCAGCCGCACTCTTACGGAGGTTCTTCCTCTTAACACGTCCTGGACGTCCACCACCGAATGGCGATTTCAAAGAGAAGTCAATGTGTTTTTGAGAGTCCAAACGAACAACAAAGGAAGGAATATTCACAACCTGCTTGCGTACGCTGCAAAATGCGAGAGAATAATTAGCACCCCTGTTGTAACTAAAATTAAATAATGTCGCCTCATGCCATAATCCAATATCACATTAACATGATATTGAAATAGATGAAACACTGGTATCAATACTCTTCGAGCGACTTTTAGCACCATTTGCGAAAAGATTTCACAATTGGCAACTCTAAGGCTCGTTCGATTAAAAGTAATAAAGTTTACCTGCAGCTTTGAACAGGTCGTTACAATTTCAAGGCGTTAGATACAATCTAAGTGGCCTTTGCGAAAGGATAACCAAAATTAGATTAGATCATTACCGAATGTGTCTCTGCCTAATCAAAACGCGAGCATGATGAATCGACTTTGCAAGTCCCAACTTGAAAACTTGAGTTTGAAGGCGACGTTCCAAGAAATCTTCAATTTTCAAACCCAAGACATAATCGAGCTTCATTCTATTTTCGTCCAGTACTCCGATACGAACCAGCCGACGCAAAAGCGCATTACCTAGTAAAAGACAATGTTAGTACTAGACGTGACGGAAAAGATTGAAATGTAGCCCCACTTTTCGGCACAGTGAGATTCTAAACCAAATCCACTGCTTCCTAGCAGGCGTTTATATAAACCCCATAAATTCAGAAAACCGAAGCAGCGACTAAGATCACTACTACAGGGTGTCAAGGGGTTATGGTGGGTTTATGCAATCATTATCATTAGTTCACTATCAAAATTCATTAAGAAATAGCCAATAGAAACATAGGTTTATTGCGCTACCAACGAAACCACCCTGAATCTAGTGAACTAATGATAATGACTGTATAAACCTACCATTACTGTCGCAGACTATTCGAGCTTACCTTCGAAAAGACGTTTCGGATCCTTCTCTTCCAAGGTTAAAAGTTCTCGGGCAGCCTTTCGAATTTTGGCCAATGTGTACTTGACACGCCACACTTCGCGTTTGTTCCTTAATCCGTATTCGCCGATAACTCTCAATTCCTGATCGAGACGCGCCTTTTCGTACGGACGTCTAGGCGTCACGTACGTTTTTGAACATACATTAGGTACTCTGCCGTTCACCATTTTTCTGTAAGATTACTTAGTTAGTTACCGAGATAGTGAGGTTGGGAAACGTGTAACCTTGCCATGAATCAGAATTAAAGTATAATTACTTTTCTGGGATTAAAACAAGGCGATTAATTTAGCCATACGTGATTAGGATTAGCACAACGTGGTTAATTGTGCAACCTTGCCCAGTACATGTGGCATGTAAAAATTCCGAGAAAATCTCGGTCATCTCAAGCGCGATGTTTATTTCTAATACAAAAATTTAATTATTAAACAATTTTTAGTTACTTTATTCATTAAAATTGGCTTATACCGAAAACTTACCTTTATACAATTATTTTAAAACGACTACCATCTACGACATGCAAATGTAAAAGAGGAAATGATCGGCTTTCCCACGACGCATTCCCACTACTTACAGTGATAATCAGTCTCGCCAACATAAAAATTACATACTAAATCAGTGACGCTAGCGCCAAATTCCCTAAAGTACAGTAACTGATTCGCGCTATAATTTCAAATCGATAAAGGATGGTCCATGGCCAAGGATATTTTATTTCAAAGGTTACCTGGTAACATTATACCATACCTGGTAACTATGTGGGCGGAAGCGGGAGAGACAGAATGTATACGTCATCGAGAATACAGACATTGACGTTCAACGTTGTTTGTAGTCGCGCGGGTGCTTATTTTTCTTGAGTTATAGTTTATTTGTTTAAAATTTGTTGAATTTTGAAGTGCATAAGGACATATATTAGCTGTAGCTGTTTGGTGCAATATAAAGACATTTAGTTTGTGAATTTTGTACGTGGATTTTCATAGCCGTGATTGAAAAGGTTAGTTCATCAATATGCACTTTTGTATGTTATAATTATTTTTTTAGATGAGTGGCGGTAACACTAAAATACGTTTCCCAAGGACCCCACCGTTCTTAAAGAATGGGTAAGAAAATGTTTCACATCCGGCAGCAAACTAAAATGTGCTGCGCCCTCATTGGTCAAAACGGCCAACCGATGAAAGCGTAGCGTCCCTGGCCGCAAACCTTTAAAAGCAGAGCCACGAACTCTGCAAAGCGCAACGCAATTTCTGCTTCGACTGCACTTCAAAAAACAAAAAGCTCTCCACCTGCAGAACCAGGTCGCCTTGCCAGCTCGACCTCGTGCCACACTCCATCAGTCAGAAGACCTGCATCTGGGCTCACCCCAACGACAGAGCTCGCCGTGTGCACCTCGGTTACCATTTTGTACATACTATAAATATACATATTCCATAAAACGCAAAAGCATTTTATTTGGCGTCATCCGCTAAAGAATGTTTAGAGTTTTAATTCCCAAAGCCTAGGTATTAATACATAGGGGTGGTTCCTATTTTGTAGATCGCGGAATTTTATCCATTTCCACCTCTAAAATTAATTTGATTACATTTTCACAAGTCCTCGTGCAATGTAAAATAGCTTACGCACAACACTCATTTTTTCAATACTTTGATTGCTTTCAAAGGTGGAAGGTCGATAAACTTCCAAGATTTCCAATATAAGATCCACCCTTATATACATATACCCATATAAATCCAAAAATATACTGCAAAAACTAAATTTTTTGCCCCTTTTATTGTAACCTATGAGCAATTTTAAATGTGTATTCTGGATGACGTTTTCCCGCCTTCAAAGTGCAAGCATTCTATTGATTTAGAGTTACCCAGACAACCTTTCTAATAAAACAACCTTGGTCCATGGCCGTGTATTTTTAACGTTATTGGGTATGGCTTGATAACGATTTGATCTTGAACTACAGCTATATTCAGTATCACTGTTATAAGTATATGTCATGTCATCCAGAATAGAGAAAGTCGCTACCGAACGATAGCCGTTGTGTAACGACGTCGTTACGTGTTAGAGAACAGGCTCCTATTCATTCATAATAAGGAATAAATCCTACAGGTTTTAATGGCTTCATTATAGTTGTTCAATGTGACCATCCTAGGTTCGCCCTCCCCCCGGCGTAGTTATGTTGCGGGGGCAAAAATGTAGGTACCTACAAAAAGGGTATTTTTGCGGTTATATCTTGTAAATGACTCACAATATCAAAAACTGGCAAAAACATGATCATATCTCCATCCAGAACAAATTCAGCGGAGCTCACAGTGACCAAACCAAAGCTTCATTGAACACAATGTAAGTGGTCACTTGAGATCCGAGATAAAAACACAAGACTTTCATCACAAGGGGAGCAGAAGAAAATAGATTATGGTTGATTATATAATGGGAGATGACACTCATATGCAAGACTATACTATCTACTGTATACAAAAACAATTTCTTTATAATAAATGTTCGCAAGCAACTTTGTGCAAATGAGGATGGATATGCATTGCTCCCTTTAAAATTGTTAGATAAACCATAAATTACATAGCATACACGTTCTCCATCTTTATTTCTTTTATTACAGAGATTTAAGTAACATGTTTAATATACACATGAATAATTAAATAACTTCAAAGATTAAAAATGTGTACAGTGCAATTAAGCAACCAATTATAAGGGTTGCTTAATCTAAAGCAACCCCCTCACATACACCCAAGGATTTAAAATGTTCCCATTGCAATTACAATGCAAAACTAAACTTTATTATACACTTGCATTAATAAATTCGTTTAGAAGAATCTTAAATGTGCTAGTTGTGATTATGGAACAAGTTTCAATCAGAGAATTCTTCGCCCTGAAACAAAACGAATTAGTGAAGAAAAAATTGCACAAAAACGATCTGGTTTTTTAAATAAATGTCCGCCCAGATTTCTGCACAGTAAAACCACAATGGCCCCACTGCTTCCTATAACTGGGGTTAATCTACCCTTTACATAAATTGGCACTTTGTACTGACACATGTCAGAAAAGCGTGGCGTTCAGGGTTCGAGCGATTAATAAAATAAGCTTACACATTCGGTGAGTGCTGTTCTGTGGACTTACAGACATATGTTGTCCTGGATGTGGGTGGCAGCCGCAGACGTAGTCTCCAGCTGCAATGTAAAAAGCAGTTCGGTGAAAGAAATATCAATATTTGCAAGGTATTTTTACATACAAAATGGGCTTCAGTATATTTACCTGCAGGTCTAGTTTCCTATGCAATTGTTGAGGATATACATCTTGTACAGCACCATACCACCCCTTCCTGTAGAACCATACATGATTATTAGCATTTGATTAACAACAGTTTATGATTTAATACGAGTAATACTATGCGATCAAAAATGAGTTGCTGTCGAGTCACCTTTGGAATTTTTGTTTCCATGGAAAATCGTATTTAACTTAACTTCCAAAGGCAACTCGACAGCAATTTATTTTTGATCGCCCGGTATATAACACAAATGTACAGGCCGCGTGCTACAGCATGACGAATAACGGGGCAGACCAAATATGACAACGGCAACTGCCATTGAGATTACTACTTCAGTGGTGAAAACATTCAATGAAACCGCACGGCCTATACTAATTAATACGTGAGATTTGTGATGTACCCACAGAGTCTGCACAGAAAGACCATGAAGGACTCCCTGCTTCCTATTAGTGGGGTTAATCTGCCTTCTACATAAATTTGGCACTTTTACAGACACATGTTTGAAAAGCGTGGCGTCGAAGGAATTAATTATACATATGATACATTCACTTTGGGGACACTAAGAATAAGTATTTAACAGCCTTTAAATACAATAAAGCTAACCACATTGGCATTATACTATAATTAATAAATCTATTTTAAATTATTTACCTTAACAGATTTCAGTTGCAATTCACACCATGTGTTTTATTTATTGTACATGTGCAACATCTGCACGCCTCGACTTCAACAAAGGAAATGGCGTACGCGTCCAGAAAATTTTTCTCGATGACGACCTGCAGGAGAATCGCGAATGTCCAATCCAATTCATGGAAAAAATAAATGGTCCAATCCAAGTTCTTGTATAGTTCAATGGTCCAATCGGATGTCAGGATGGATCGATGCGAAAAAGTTAAAGCTACCGACAAGAGATGGTGCCACACAATTTCCGACGTAAACGTCAACGAATTAGAAGGATAAGGAGTACGAAATTGGAAAGATAATAAAACCATTAACCAAACAATAATTTAACCAAAGGATTGGTAAAAATGACCAGAGAAAAACACTACGCTTTAACAACGTCATGTTGGCATAATGCAATGCCTATTGCTTCGAATTTTGTCATAGCGATCCACCATATCACAGAACAGAAGTATTCCCTTTGAGTAGCCTGTTTACGATGCAATAATTGCAGATTCTGTTGATCTTCTGGATAAACAAAGTAGGTACAATAAAGTATACAGATGTGCCCCCAATATTTCAGGAAAAGAAAAGATATCAAGACTGATGGGACGTTTTCGATGTCAAGTACCTACTAAATAAACATGTTCTAAATTAATTTAATATTGTAACAAAATATCAACGCAAAACCTTCGTTAAAAGACAACACAAAGTAAAAAAATTGGAATCATAAAAAAAATTAACAATCATAATAATATTAAGCTTGAGTTTTTCTCTAAGACTGGTAGTAATGAGAATTAAAAAGATCAAGCCACTGCAATTTCAAACAAATTAAAAACTTAATATGCAATTTGCATACATATAAATGACGAGAGCGTATATTTCCGTCGTGATAGGTAATAATGGGTCCGGGAGAAAATATGGTAGGGAAGTATGACATCCTTGATGCCCTATTCTCTTTCAAAAATGAACTGTCTGTCAAGGTTCACACAAGTAGTACTACGTGTCAGTTTTTCATATAGTTAAATTATAAAGTATCAACAATAATACATTGTCCTTATTCACTACGTAGGTACCTATAATATCAAGTTTTGAAATACTTTTCTCAAAGTTGGAATACTACCTACTAGTGTAGAGTATAAAAATATACAGAAATTTTGAAACTCGTCTTAGATTTGTTTTTATTCCAAGTGCCTATGTAGGAACTTTCATTTATTAAATGCTTTTGTAAATAAGAAAGTTTCCACTGCGCATACGCAAAACAATATTTGGAAACGTCGATAGTTTCGTAGTGTTTACTAAAGTTTCATTTAAATATCTTCATAAAGAAAAGTTACCATTGCACATGCGTTAAACCAAATTTTTGATACAGCGCATGCGCAAAACAAAAAATATCGGTACGCCCAGAATACCTTGCACCAAGCCCTTACAAAATGAACCCATATCGCCCTAATCGGTCGTGTAAAAGTCCCACAAATAGCATGAAAATTAAATAATATCATTAGCGGAAAAAACATTACAATTTAATTACAAAAACAATAAATAAATTTACAAATTATTGTAAATAAAACAAATCAGCGGCACCTGGATGTGATGTAGGCAGAATGCACTGACTGGAATGCCAGCTACCAGTAGTAGCGGTTTGCAGAACAGTATCGGAAACCTCGGGTAAACTCAATCACAGTAAACGGTGCTCCAGGAATCGGACAAGTTTTTAGCAAAGGTAGGCGGTCACTTCGGAAAAACTAAAACAAAATTATGCCGCACGGCTCATAAGAGGATTAGTCTCAGATTATTATAACATTTTATCCCGTAGTATAGATATTGTTATTACAGTTCCGAGATGTATTGTAAGTGTAACAGATTTTGAGGTAATATTATCTCTACGTCTAGTGGCGTAGCAGAAATTATATAAGTACTTAGAACAAAATTAACCACCATTGAATTAAGGGCAAGTCGCCATATTATCCAGCCACATATGCTATAACAATAATTATATAAATTTTCGAAAGATTTGCAATGACTAATGTAAGAATCAATTGGGGAGCGGGGAGGAATCAACATTTTGTTCAGACAAATGCTCAGTTTGATTACAACCAACAATAAGTGTAGATTTAAAGTATCTACGAGAATTAATGGTAGGGCCGGACCCTCTTTGGGTCAGTCAATTTTTGAAGCATTAATGTTTGTAAATGTTGAGCGTATTGTTAGTTTAAATTGGAAAAGGATAAATTAATTGATAAATTTGCCAATACGTCATTGGAATTACAGCGCCCTCTCCTTTAATTCAATGTTCAATACTGTTCAGCAAGTTGTTTGAAATACAATTAAAAAATCTGCAAATCCCTTGTCTTCTTTTTTTTTTGGGGGGGGGGGGGGGGTCCATGAGTTTTGGGGGCCTTTTGGTCATGGAGCGCCCGGGGCCCTTTTCCACCCAGTCCGGCCCTGATTAATGGTATCAATGATGTTCCACCTTTTAGGAATTGTAAGCTTTGTTCTAACCTATTCATCAATCTACCGAGCGCTATAGACAATTTTATCAATCATCACTTAAAGAGTACATAAAGTACAAATATTCTCAAAATATATATTTACAATCGGCAAATATAAAAAAAAAATTATAAAATGTATATAAATATACAATAGAAATCTACAAAACGATCAATTAAATTATTGCCTCGGTAAAGGTTTACTTCATTTATTATGAACCAAAACAAGCATCTGTTCATTTCTTCTAATTACAGTTTGCTGCCTTATAAATAATTTTTGTAATAATCTCGAACGCACCCAGTCTGATATGCAACGTGAACAATTATTGAAGCAGCTTAATACGGTAACGATACGAATAGTCTAAACGTGTTTGTACTATCTTAAATGACGCGCTCACTTTTCACACATATACACACGCACACTCGCGTCGCTCATGCAAATAGCTAATACACCAACGATCAGGATAATATAGTTCGATCAGTCTCATTAACCGCCACCACCAATCTTGACGTTCGTTCGATATCTGCTATGCCTAAAAATCAAAGAAAACAGTTAGTTAGTATCGACACTTGTAATTATAAATACTACAGCTGTTAGTGTGGGCTCACAATGGGAGTATTAGTTAGCATACTAGTGACAAAAATGTTGAGACAGTATCTACTGGTCTAAGATCCCATGTTAAGGCTCCTCTGTAGTCAATTTGTATTTCAGTGTTATTGCAATTGGTTAGACCACCAACAATACACACTGCTACATGATCTCCTTGAGTGAAACCAACGATGTATCTATCCTTCTCAGTTTTGCATATTCTCTTCATTTATTGTTAAACACAATAGGCCATGTATAATGTTCAAGGACTAATTATGTAAACAAGTTTCTCGAAAAGCTGTACAATATTTGACTGGAGATGCACAAATACCTATTTCTGTTACCCTTGAATAAATTACTTATTCAATGCATTTACTGCATTTTTCTATAATGACAGCTTCTGTAAATTACCTGGTTTTCAGGTAATTAGTGGACTAGATTAGCATTGTTTGTTATAACATTTTTAATTACCCCTTTATTTCTTATTGTGATTTGTTCTAATCATTTTTACTGATTTATAGATTTTTATAGTTATTAGGTACATGTGCATGAATGAATTCACTTAGGTATGGTAGATCCTAAAAAAACCGGCACTTCGAACACCTAAAACAAATCTTTCTTTACTTACATACAAGGGTGAACAACAACAAAAATTGTATGTTTTTCATAAAAATGGTAGCTAACATTTAAAATTCTGTTACAATGATTAAAAGTATAACATTTATACTGATTCTAAATAAATCCTTATCTTTTCAAAAATTAATAACAATTGTACATTTTTTTTTTTTTGATTTTATATTTCTATTTGCAATCAGTATAATTTACATTACTATAAGCAACATTTAGCGTATTACTTATTTATATGTATGCACGACCCATGGAGAATATTTCCGAACAACTTTTGTGCGGGAAGCTGCCTTCACTTTTTTGCCCTGAATTCAATGGTAAAAACAAAATTTACTTGATCCTCCTATTTTTTGAGGGACAAATATTCCTGTTGATAAAGTTGATATCAGTCCATATTGAAAAAAGAAGTAGGCAGTAGTAAAAAATTTACCGGTTTCTGTCGCTACATAGTATTGGAAATTTGAAAAAAATTCGTTAACGTGAAGTTTGTGGGACTCCATCAAAAGGTATTCTCAAACAGAAAGATAAATAGTCGAATTTTTTTAAAAGTGCAAGAATTTTTTATATCCACCACTTTCACTAACTTGACTTTACATAAGCAAAACAGTGACACTTTGTTTTATATAAAATTGTCAGTGTCGGCCATTAGTTATCGTATCCCGCTTAGGAATTTAACTAAAAAGGGGAATTGTATTTATATCGGTAGCGTTTGTTTATATAACATACCACGACGTTTCCTATGTTTATGTTCCGCTAATAAGTGAAAAAATGCCTATGTGTCATTTGTTATCTATTGGGCGCAACTTTATGGAAAGCAAAGGGCATGTGCATCTTTTGCTTTTGGTCGCATTTCTCGAAATAGATAATTTTCACGAAGACTTACTCTTAGTCCAGTATGCAGATAATTTTGACCTGCAAAAGGTGGTGTAAAAGATTTTATTGTTTTAAATGGTCCATTTGGGTCCAAATAACATGTATTTGAAGAGTACGCACAAATTTTTTCCCGGCACAACTTTTGGCAGCCAAAAAACCTCAAAATTTTTGGCATTTTTTTAGTTTTTCGCTTAAAACTCGAAAACGGTCCATATTTTATGAATAACACTTCTTTAGAAAATTAAAGAAATTCAAAATTATGCGTCGATCAAAAAAAACAAACAAAATCGGTCCAATAGAAAAATGTTTTACAAGCGATCAAAAAACGCCCATTTTTTCCAACGAATTTCAAAAATTGGTCCAATTTTAAATTGTTGGTACTTTTTGAACTCTCTGATTGATGTTCTACAATCTTTAGGGAGGGGGGGTAGTGGATTTTATCGTTCCTTTAGGAGCCACAACGCATTAAAAAAAGGTTAACTCAGTTCTTTAGAAAAGTTGGAAAAAATGGGCGTTTTTTGATCGCTTGTAAAAATTTTTCTATTGGACCGATTTTGTTTGTTTTTTTATCGACGCAGAATTTTGTTTTCTTTAATTTACTAAAGAAGTGTTATTCATAAAATATGGACCGTTTTCGAGTTTTAAGCGAAAAACTGAAAAAAGTCCGAACGTTTTGAGGTTTTTTGGCTGCCAAAAGTTGTGCCGGGAAAAAATTGGTGTGCACTCTTCAAATACATGTTATTTGGACCCAAATGGACCATTTAAAACGTTAAAATCGTTTACACCACATTTTGCAGGAATCGGCCCTTCTGACTGCTCCGCATACTGGATTATCTGAGAAAACTGATAATTTTAGATGGGAAATATACACAAACGTGTAATTTAGTCATATTTGATTTGATCTAACTAAACAAAGTGCTACGCTTCTGGTAGTTTGAAAGCATTGTTATAAAACAGAGTTCATATTCAGCACTACTTATGATATAATATGTGAAGTACCTAGTATTGTACGTACCCCCGCCCCGTCAAAGGGAAATATTACAGCCTCATTATAGGTTTTTTTTTATTTCTTGAAGCATCCTGATGGGATGCAAAAGGTTTTAGAAATAAAAAATTATTTCCAATGTACCTATAATAGGATATCCATTTTTCGTCTTGGGAATATGTGACATTATGATTTACAAATCAACAGCATTCAAATAAATAAATAATAAATAGTAATTTATCTAATCCATATCATTAGGAACGGCGTAACAATGTGTAGGGTAATGCCAGGTAGTTTCTTTTGTTTTCCCTTTCAAGTAATGAGTTGTCGCCTCAGGCGTTATAAGTGCAATTTGAATTGCCTATCCTTACGTTAGCGTTTTGATTTTTTTCTGAAGATCGCGAAACATATTTTTTAAAATATATGCCTTATCATAATAGATGGAAATAATATCTTTAAGTACCGCCGTAAGAAATACTGTCGGATTTCCAAATTGGTGCTGTAGATTTTTCTACTCCCATTACAACGACGGTTATTTACGAAAAACGATTTTTCTATTCATCGATCTTCCTAAAAAACTAAGACCGATATTTCAACTTTTTTTAAGTACCGCCCCTCTTTTCATCATTGCAAAAAATATCCACTATCGAGAATTTGTTAGACTTCAACTACAAAAGCAGTATTTCATAAGAAAGTTTAGCTATTTTTCCAATATGGCGGGGATTGACTACGAGGAGCCTTAAGTCAACATCTGTTTACTGAGTGAAATACATTGAACACATTGCAAATGGTTGCCTAACAAAAATTAAGCTAAGACTACCTATAATTAAAATCTGCTTCTATCACATGGAGAGAACGCATGCGCACTCCCTTACATCGATGCGTACACCACGAGCAGCCTGCGTCCTAGGTAGAAGCAGACCGAAATATTAATTACATTACATTAATTTTTCAGGCAACCCATTTGCAATGTGTTTGTTTACATATTAAGATTGCTAAAAAATACCGAAAACAAATGAGCAATCATTTCTGTTGTTTTACAAGATGGCAGTCTCAAATTTTTACACAAAGGCAGCTGAAAAAGCAAATCTACTCTAAAACCGTCACCCAAAAATCAACATTACCGACGTTCACTTAAAACTGCTTTGGTACATCGGAACTAGAACCGCTAAAGGAAACAGAAGGGACTGCTACGTCTACCAACATTAAACGATTTAATACAACTAACGAACGCCTAACGCCGGAACTTACCTTTGACGGCGTGCTCCACTTTTAGTCTATCTTTGACAATATACATGGCAGTGATTAGGAAAAATACGCCGCCGATCACCTCGACGAAACACGTCGTGAAGATCGCATACTGTAACGCTTTAAAGTCTATCAAGTTGCTGCTATTCGACGGTATGTCCTGTAAAGCGGCGACAATTGTTCCGTTTGTCATGGTTGGCACGGATGACGACGATTGTAACTTTGAGGTTAGAATCACCCGTAATGCGTCTGAAATCTGCGCAAGGCCGTTAGTGGTCGTTTCAATTAACTTTGGGTCAACCTACAATTCCTATGAAGTACGGACTGCCAGCGTCGCCCAAGGCGTGCGAGACAAGTAGTTGGAAGCCTTCCGCCGATGATCTTCGTGTGGGTACCACAACGTACTAAAATAAATCGTTAAGTGTTTGTCGATATGACTGGGAAGAAGTGCGTGGAAAAGCTGCGTTAAGTAAAATTTGCAGTGATGAATTAACAATGCAAATAGTACTCGGGAAGTATATTTACAAGAACGCAACCAAAAACTACAAGCACATAGAAAACATAAATCGTGCATGACAGATTAAAACCACCATTTTATATACAGAGTGTAATGTTGTTTCAGTTTTGATCATTCTACATCATCAGTGTTAACGCTTCAGAGATCAGACTTTTGCAAATCCAATATCGGAAGATACAGAAAGCGGTAGAACCTAGCAAGCCCTCCTTCACCATTAATATATCCTTTCAAAGGATTCTTGATTAATCAATTTGTTGTTACAGTTATGTATGGTGAGGGGTTGGCGGCTTGATTCCACCATAAGCCCCAATCCCACAAAAGCATATCATAATAATTTCTAGCAATCCATAACCAAAAATATACACAGAACGTAACCCCTTGAACAAAAACAAGCATAATACAAATAAAAATGAAAGGAAGGTTCAAAGCCAATTGAGTGTGAACACGTAGAACAGTTTCTTTTTTAATTCTTACCAGCAGAATGTCACCGACAATTGCCCAATTCAAATTCAATGCGACTTGTCCGAAAAATAGCAGGACAAAACAAGCATGTGAATTTTTAGGGGCCGTTATAGCGCAACCCACTAGAAAAGGAGCCGAACACAATAAACCGGCTCCACATATTATTGGATCTACTCTTGGATAACGTTTTATTAACCATTGACTTAAAAAGCAACCTATCGTAAGACCACATATGCCAGCCAGTATCGTAATTCCACCGAACGGAAATGATAAACTGAAACAACATTAACAAATTGTGAGATATGTAGACATTTCAAACAAAAGACAATGGCCGCTACTTAAAATGTTACATATCTCACATGGTCACGAAAAAGCTTGCTTACCAATAATATATCGGCGACAATTGACCATGTGAGATTAATAGATATTTCGGCAAAAAAGACGAAAAAGTAGCACGTCAGCGTGCTGGCTTTCGCTGTTACGCACGTTAGAAACACAAGTGGCGCCGACACTAGTAACGCGCAACCACAAATTATGGGATCGATGTTTCTATATCTCTCACGCAACGCTTGAGCCAGAAAACTACCTGCCGGAACTCCTAGCAATCCAGAAATCATCGCTACGATTCCAAACTTATAAGAAACGCTAGGAACAGCCACCATTGTCATAAGTGTCTCCTTTTATTGTGAAAAAATTATACTCACTCGCTAAGCTGTACGTCCTCATTGCCCGGCTGAAGCTTGATACCTAAATATATAAACTTCGGGCCCCACCAGGCCAAGGCCCCGGCTATAAACGCGACGCACGTAAATCCAAGCGTCGACAACATGAAGCTCGGGCTGCAAGAAAAACAAAATCACCAAACGCCTAGGCTAGGCCAACATACTTTTTAAGTATATCTTTTATATCTTCGACCCAACTGGTCGTGCATAAGTGGTGAGCGCCCTCGCTTTCGCCTCGGTCGGGATCCTTCAAGACGAACATAATAAGTACCACAGCGACCGCCCCCAAAATCGGCGTCACTCTCAGTCCCCATTGCCAAGCTCCTAGGGCTTTCGCGGTCTCCGAGCCGACAATGTAGCCCAAACCGCTACGGAAAATAATCAAAATTAGTACAATAAACCACGACCATGAAGTCGACAAATATTTTATATCTTCTATTAATAGGTTTATTGGCGTATCGATTAAGTTTTTATTATAGATTGCCCTTTGCCGTCAGATTTTGATAGACTACCGCCAGCTTTTGAATAATTTAAATCAATTAGCGGCTATTAACGGTGCGCCGCAGTTTTATAAATAATTCCTATTGTATTTTGCAATAAATTCGATAGAAAATTATAACAATAGCCATTTGCCGATGTCAATAAACCCAATCGCGTGGCATCTTCCAGTATAAAATGGAAAGACTGCGTAATGAACAAATTTAGTTTTGACCTTGTTTAATAAATCATCGTTGAGAAGCTATAAACCACCAAATATTTGGGGGGTCAGGAGAATGTCGAATGTATATTGATCATAAGGTAATTAGGTGGTACAACCTAATGATCATATGAGAATAGCTACAAAATATCTTTTCAGTCAAGTACCAAAAGGAACATAAGTGTACCATATGTACCACATTAGAATCCGACCCTGGTATCCGTAGGTAAGGTTATTGTGTGCAATTGCAAATGCATCTAAAGTCCAATAACATCATACCAAAAAATCAATCCGGCTTCAAAGGCGGACACAGTTGTAATACGGCGTTATTAAACATAGCGGATGATATTATGCACGCAACAGACAAGGGTAAAGTAACGGTATTGGTGTTGTTGGACTTGTCGAAGGCATTTGATACGATCAACCATGGTTTAGGTACTTCAATCTATGTTAAAGTATATTGGTCTTCGTCCTACAGCTGTAAGCTTAATTGCTAATTACCTTTGTAATAGGACACAAATAGTTTCTGTAGGCGGTAATATTTCACAATCGTTACTTGTGAAGAGCGGTGTTCCGCAGGGGTCTGTATTGAGTCCCATATTATTCACCATATACATATCGACATTTCCTGGCGTTCTTCATTCTTGTTTGTCTCAATTTTACGCTGATGACACTCAAATATATTACTCTTCTTTACCCAATGAGGTGCACCAAGCGTGCGTAACAATGAGCGATGAGTTGGAGCGCATGTCAGGAGTGTCGGCCGCGCACGGCCTCCTATTGAACCCTGATAAATCGAAAATGGTACTTTTCGGTAGTCGTCAAAATAGGTTTAAAGTTATGGATAGAATAAATATAACGATAAATAATAGGCCGTTGACTTGGGGCTTACCATGGATTCAGACTAGCGTTTTGATCATTATGTTTCAAAGTGTTTGCGAAGCGGTTATGCAAGTCTAAAACTTATTTAGCAAAACCGACACCTATTTGGCACTCAGCATAAGAAACTTCTTTGTAACACTTTGGTACTATCCAGGCTCAACTACTGTGACTCTCTGTATGGCCCATGCCTTGGTTCGGTTAATATAAACAGAATTCAGAAGATACAGAACTCGTGCTTAAGGCTAATATTTGGAATAAGAAGGCGAGAACGAATTAGTCATAAATTGGTTGAGCTCGGATGGTTGAATATGAAAAATCGTCGCCTCTTGCATGCCACAGTCTTATTCCACAGTATCATAATAAATAAAACACCAGCTTACTTGTACGAGAAAATTAGTTTTCGAACAGACGTGCACAATCTTAATTTGAGGTTCAAGGGATTGTTAACGCCTCCGATTCATACAACACAAGCGTTCAAAAAATCTTATACCTATTATATTACACATGTGTATAATGAACTACCCATGAACCTTAAATCGCTTTCCCTAAAAACCTCCAAATCCATTACTCATAAAGATCTGCTTAGGGTACAAACAAATACAGTTTAAGTAAGTGCTCCATTTCTAAATTTTTACATATTTATACCGGTAAGAGTACACCTAAATTGATGCAATTTATATTTATCTCTTTTTTTTCTTCTTTTCTTATATTCTATACTTCTTTTATAATGTAATTTTCTTCTTTTTCGCCGATCGGAATTCAAATAGCTAGGTTAAGTGTAAGAACAGATGGCATTATTTTACTGCTAATCTGAACTTCGCCTTGTAATAACTTTATCTGTTGTTTATCTTTTTTTGATTTTTGTTTTAATAAAGGCAATATTATTATTATTATTATTATTCGCGACGTTTTGTTTCGAATAATTCCATCATCAGAAAAGTGCTTTCCTGATAATGCAGCGCAAGCAGTGAACTTTTAAACAAAAACGGTATGTTTTTATTTTGTCTTGATTTTTGAGTGGGCGGGGTTTCAGCCAAGGCTGCTCTATCAACCCAACCCACTATACATTTACAAATATTCATGCCCGAACCCGGATTCGAACCAGGGACCGTTAGCACTACAGTTCGGTTTCAACTGAACTGCGCCACACGGGCCGGTTAACACAGGTTTATAACAAATTCTTATACCTAAATGTCAAAAAGAAAAAAACCTAATAATTAATCTATCACCAATAGTGATTTCCAAACAAAAGAAGGTGAAGACAGAGACAGGCTAGAATCCATTATTATATTTATATTTAAGGTAAGATTTTACACATTAAAAAGTTTTTCTGTGCACAGATTTGGACTGTCAGTGGGTTCCACCAATGTTCCATTTTTTTCTTTTGGACCTCGGATTGCACGGAACCTTGGATTACCACTTTACTGTATATATGATCTAAGAGCAAGCATAATGAAGGAGACTTCGAACAATGACCATGAATGCTTGAAAGATCCGTGCAGAAAAGAGGAAAATAGGGTGAAGCATACGTAAAGGAACGTAGTGATATGACATAGAAATTCAAACACACAATATTTGTCTGCGTCGTACCGCGTGTAGTTCGGTCTTGCCTTTATACCTAGATAGGTAGGTAATGAACCACCTCCCAGCTTGGTGTGTACCTAATCATCCCACTCATATGGGACCTGACTCAGGAATCCAGGACCTACTACAGTGTCACATTTCAGAGTTCCTTCTGAACCAGGTGCTTTTTTTCTTTTTGCCTTCTTTCCTTCCTTTTGAATTTTTACCTACAAAGATTTCTTTAAATACAGTAAGCTGTGCTGTTTAAATAACAGACCATTGTCTTTTTTTTTATTACCACATAACCACATAATAGTACACAACACATGAGACTATTTGGGTAGTTCAAAAACCCGTCCCTTCTCCACTCACATACCAGCAAGGACAGTAGGAGACCTAGGTGTCGGCGACTTGGTACTGTATATACAGTGCGTCCCAGATCGCGTGGGATTGCATGGGTAACTTTGTTATTATTAAAGATAGAGAATTGGTTAAATGGGCAATGTTTTGCAGTTTTGGATGCTTATTTATTATTTATTATATATATATTATTATATATTATATGTTATTAAAATTCGACGTAAACTCAAAAAAACTAAAATTGGTCATTTCCTTGAATGTCTTATACAGAGTGAGCAACAAAGATTGAAGCGTGCCGCTTCAGCTAAATTGGCAATGTGCCGCTCATAGCATATGCTGATTTGATACAAGATACGAAATACGAATAGACGCACGTCACTGTGACAGCGCTGAACGTCATTTTCGTATACAACTCCATACAAAGAAGGTAGTTTTGATATTAATAGGAACAAGCGGTGATGACGCACGCTTCAATCATTGTTGCTCACACTGTATCATCGAAAGTATAAGAGATATAAAAAAAAGTTTTATATAAAAGTGACTGTCTTTGATACGCTTAATTTAGAATTGATGTTAAAAAAAAATTGCCACTTTTGAGGAACATTTACCAACTTCCTAAACTTAAATAGGCGCCATATTGGATTTTTAGATTACTTGATAGATTTTTTAATTCTCTTTTCAACGAGCTATTATAACATAAGATTGAAAATAAGATACCAGTTATATTAACGGTTTTTGTATTTTAATCAAGTAGTCTGTGACGAATTAAAAAAAAACAAAATCTATTCGAGGTAACAAAACAATGAAAATAATTACACCAGATGTTTAAAATACTGGCCATTATTAGTGAAACACACTTTAAGACAGTTTAGTTTAGGCAACGTGTTGCCATTGATGATTATTATTATTATTATTGTAGTGGTAGCTACTTCCACTTTGCTTTTATTTTTTAATTAAGTACTTACTTTTATAATTTAATGTATTGTACATAATTCGTGAATTGTGACCAGAGCAGACAGCTTGTTGGTAGGTAGCATAAACCAACCCTTTCTTCGAAACATACGTTGTCGAGAAAGTTTATTGGAGAATTTGTAAATAATGGTGAGCAGTTACCGATCCAACGAAGATTACCGGTCCAATTACATGACTTCCCATTATGCCATAAAATACATTAATTAAAAAAAATATTACTTGATTTCGGCGTGAAACTACAACATGTAGGTTTTCCTGTGACGAGTATAGTGTTCATTATGTCGATTTAAACACTCCGCAGTTAGAAAAATAAGATTCATCTGTCCATATACACGGACTGGTAAAACTGTTAGTTTCGATATTCTTGCGGATAAACCACCTACAAAATGTGACCTGGGACAATGCATCAATGGTAATACATTGTGTAAAATAAAGCAAAGTGTCTTGAAATGTGTTTAACTGGATAATGGCATGACATTTTTTCGAGGGGATAGTTTGTAGTTATACCACCATTTGTAGGTATGTAAGTATGGATAATAAGATAGTCAATAAGTGATGATATAAAAATCAAAATTTTTCTAGGCCTACTTATATAAAATTTTGGAAGGAGTTGCCAACCCCCCTCTCATGAGTGCACCCCTGATTTTTTAAACATCTGATGTAATTATTTTCATTGTTTTGTTGGCTCGAATAGATTTTGTTTTGTTTTTTTTTAATTCATCACAGCCTACTTGATTAAAATATAAAAACCGTTGATATAACTGGTATCTTATTTTCAATCTTATGTTATGATGGCTCGTTGAAGAGAGAATTAAAAAATCTATCAAGTAATCTAAAAATCCCATATAGCGCCTATTTAAGTTTAGGAAGTTGGTAAATGTTCCTCAAAAGTAGCCATCTTGAATTTTTTTTGGACATCAATTCTAAATTAAGCGTATCAAAGACAGCCATTTTTATATAAAACTTTTTTTTATATCTCTTATACTTTCGATGATATAAGACATTCAAGGAAATGACCAATTTTAGTTTTTTTGAATTTACGTCGAACCTGTGACATTTTGAATTTCCATAAACAAATTTTAAATAAGCATCTAAAACTGCAAAACATTGCCCATTTAATCAATTCTCTATCTTTAATAATAACAAAGTTACCCATGCAATCCCACGCGATCTGGGACACACTGTAGTCTACTACCGGGCAATCAAAAATGAGTGGTGGTCGAGTCAAGTCTACGTTTGCATTTTTACAGAGCCATCTTCAGAATAACTACATTATAAAAAGTACGAGTTTGAATGATATCATTTATAGTGACATCTAATTGAGTATAGTGCTGCCACCTACTCAACTAAAAATTTGAATCGCCGCCCTTAAAACACTCTTTGGTCTCTTGGTATATAATATACCTGCTATATTATTATACTTAAGATAATATTCATTGGGCCCGAAAGTAAAAAACATAATACATCGATCAAATATTTTGAGATTTAAGCATGGCGCTCAGAAATTACATATAACAAAACAGAAAATACCAAGAGATGGCTGATGATCACGAATAAGTAATTATAGAATTGACGGATTTTAGGATTATAGAAAGATTACCAAGTAATTGCTTGTTATTTTTCAGCAAGGTAAAAAAGAACCAATGAAATTTCGTCATTTTATCGTTTTGACTTGATTGCATATTCTCTAGCGCTGACGATTATCTAAATCAGCAAAGAGCAAAGTTAATATTTACAACAATATTTTTTTAAGATACCTCAACGAAAAACATAAACATTAACAAACTTTAGTCTCGGGCAGATAAAACATCATGACCTACGTACAGAGATCAATAAATCTTGGATATGTTGATATCATTTTTTTTATAATTTCACACAGTTTGCTTTATTATTTGCAACCGTTGTGGGACTACGTCAATTTGAGAATAAACGGCGCATAATCATTTCAGAAACAAAAATATTGCATAATTACACAATTGAAGTTTGACGTCAAATTATTTTGTCACTAGAGGGCGTACCAAATATTTAGGTCTGCCGCTAGTATTTCGAAACGATCTTGCAGTACCTACGCAAAAAGGCAAGAAGATAAATGTAGATTACACATTTACATTTAAACTTGTCTCACTCAACGGAATATTGGGGCACTAACAGCACAGTCAGCAGAAGTACACTTTTTTGGTTATTTCAGTATCATATTTTTAAAGCCATTTTTATTCTGAATTCAATTATGTATAGCACTTTATGGTTTAATTGCGGTTTGCCCTTATTTTCGGGCTTAATTAGGAAAATTCCTATTACAGAAGGGTTTCAGGTTGGATGAAATGAAAGATCCTACCATGTGAACCTTTTCTTCTTTCTACTTTTCTTCACAATTACTAGATAAAATTATTAATTATTGTCCCCCCACCCCAATATAAAAAAGTATGCTTTGAAAAACAAGTGAATCTCGGCCACATTGTATAATACTTGTAAGAATTGCATGAGTGTATCTCTACATGCAAATACTATAATTTAACAACGCATGTCTAGCAATTAAGACAATTTCATAAGTAACCATGAACTTCAAACTCCATAAAAAAATTTCAATTCATCATTTTTAAACAATAATAATGACATGGTTAATTTAGTAATACGGCCTGGCCTACCTTCCGACTGGAATTGCGAAATAGAAAAACGCCAACATCTTCGACCTGACATCCTTCACGAATAAATCGCTAATAATTGTCGGCGCAATGGTCGAATAGCTCGCCTCTCCAATACCGACCAAAGCCCTAAACAGCACAAACCAAGTAAAGTTCTGAAAGAAGTCAATCGTCAACCCCTAATCGCGACCGTTCGCCAAACACTTACGTCCATAAACGAGCCGACGAAAGTGGTCAAGCTCCACAGGAAGACGCCGAAAGCCATGATCGCCCGTCTACTATACCTATCGCCCAGATATCCGAAAATTGGGGCGAAAATCATGTAACTTAAAATAAAGGCGGTCTGCAGGAGGCCGCCGTCCGAATCGGTTATCTTGTAGTAGTCTTGTATTTGGGTTAAAATACCTGAAACAGAAAGGCGAATTAGTGCGTATAAAGTTTTGGGGTCGGGCGAATTCAATAAGGAAGCGAGAGGAAATTAATTCATGCCGAGTTATTAAATTAGGGGAGCCGTGATAATACGGATGCTGGTGGCATGACCTTTTGATACAATTCTACACGTGCGCCACTTCAAAGGCTCTTTAATTTCCGTAGCGGGCGACTAAAATTTGGGGTAGTAAAAAATTATTCGCTGACTCATTGAGATAAATAAAGGGCGATGTCTTATGTGTTTGTACAGAGGGTAGTTGTTCCCATCTGCTACAATTTCGTAACGTGATATAAAGAGACCATAAATCTAAGTTTCTTTTGACGCACGGAGATATTTCAGTAATGCCGACTCTTTAGATATTTATAGCATCAACCCTATTCACATTGAGGCTCCCTTTTTTTATCTATTTTGTTGTCTAGTAGCTTCATAAATATAGAACGATTTCCTACTCGAGTACGAACTATGTGTAATACGTTACAAACGTTGATAATTACTGTGACGTTGAATCACGCCATACTTAATCAGCATTATTTTATTTTTAATCACAGGCATTGGAAAATTCTCAAAACGAGCGGAGATGGTTACGAGTTGTGCTTTCACGTAGGGACTCGGTACTACTTTATCAGGGTGGTTTTTGAAAACGACAATTATAAAAATACTGAAAAGGAAATGTGTTTGTATCCAAATTTTTCTGGGCAAAAATGTTTCATTTAAGAAGATGATCTCAACTAACAATAATGATGTTTATTTTATATACACAGAGATAAACCTTGTAACAAATGTAGCAAACGAGCTATCCTGCGTTACTGAAAATTTAATCAGTTCTTTGGGCGATATACATAATACTGAAAATAGAATTAGAAAATTCGAAACCGTCCGCGAGTTACCATGTACACAGACGGACAGACAGACAAAACCATGAACTCGCAAGAAGCTCATTAATAAACTAAAAATATCCCCAAAATCAATAGTACCTATGTGGATATTTGAAATTGGTAAGTATGCCCCAAAAGAATGTTTTTCAAAACATATTTTAGGCCCTCCGAAAAGGGTTTTTAATGAATGGCTTATGTACCTAAATCTCCACAATTTTAAAATGTTCAAGCTCTTTTGCAAATGACGTTTGAAGTACGTTCGTTTTTAGCTAATGATTCGAATATGTAATGGAACTAAAAATGATGCCAGGTGGGACTAAGCTCACATGGCAACCAAGTTTCATCACGATCGAATGCATGCCGTAATGGTCAAGTGACAAGGAAACTCGGTTTGTAACCGGGCGGCTCGTGTTCGATTCTTTAATTTCTTTTTTATTATTTTTTTTTACAAAAACTCGTATCCCAATTCAGCGGAGTTGGACATAACTTTTTTTTTGAGAAACAAAGATGTACAAAAATGTTGCAGAGTTTTCCAAATAGATAACGCGCCTTGCACGTTCGTATTATATTTCCCTAAAAAATTCTTTACAAAAAATTAGGGGGGAAAGTGCATCCAATTCGGTTAAAATTTGTTGACATTATTTAAGGGTTGATATGTGCAGATTTAATATCAAACACAATAAATTATAATTATTGCAAAACAACCTTCAAAATTGGGCTTGTTACGTTTCACTCGGAAAGAAAAAACGACAAGTTTTGAAAATTTATTTCCAATGGCATTTATTTTAAGGGTTGATATTGTACACTGCGTTATTCGGTTATTCAAGAAAGTAATACAGCGTCATGAACTTTTTTGGCTTTTTCCGGTCAAACTTAAATCGAGGCTTTAAAATTATTGCAAAACAACCTCAAAATTGGGCTTGTTACGTTTCACTCGGAAAAACGACCAAGTTTGAAAATTATTTCCAAAGAAATGCAATGGCATTTATTTAAGGGTTGATATGTACACTGCGTTATCGGTATCAAAAAAGTAATACAGGCGTCATGAACTTTTTTGGGTCAAACTTAAAATCGAGCTTAAAATAGTAAGATCAAAGGTGCTGACAAAGGGCCGACCAACCATGAAGTAACGCTCACGAGGTTACCAGTTGGAGATGGAACTTTTGATTAACAAGGGAAGGGTTTTAGTGGGTGGAACTGCAACACCAACACTAGGTACCCCTAGTATAGAGCCAAGCAGGGGTCTCAGTACGGAATTAAAAAAATACTTATGGCCGTTTGCACAGACAAATTTAAGCAGAGCTTAGCTTAAGCGTAGCTTAAAATCCATGGCAACGATTATTGAAACAATGGTTGCCATGGATTTTAAGTTACGCTTAAGCTAAGCCCTGCTTAAATTTGTCAGTGCAAACGGCCATTAGTAACTTTGTAGGAATTTTATTCTAGTGTGATTTTAGAATTGGCCCTATATTACTTAGTAACTTTTCTAGTGGCTTTTACTGTATAGGGAATTTTAACCTAGGGTAATTTAAAATGGGCCCTAAATTCTCCAATATCTTTCTAGGGATTTTTAGTCTAGTGAGATTTAGACCTATTCACGAGGTTAAGATTTAGAACTGACGTGCATAATTTAAATCTACGACATAGGGGATTGCTAGATGTCCCTCTCCACAATACTCACTTTTTCGAACGGTCATTTATTTATCAGTTTACTACCTGCTACAATAGATATTTTAATATATTCAAAAATTCTCCTTCGTTATAGTCTTTTAAAAAAAACATGAAGTGTAGGTTATTAAGTGAGCAATCATATTAGATTTGTAAAAAAAAAAAATTTATTTTATATGTATGTGTATAACGTGTGAATGATACACTAGGTTGAGTGGTAGAGCAACAGTTGTACGTCCAGGTCAACGTGTTGAACTCCGCCTAGATTATTTTCGTTTTAATTTTATTTACATTATATAATTTCGTAATAAAGGCATTATTATTATGGTCGGTGTTTCTTGTGAGAACTCAGGTCTAGCCTGGTTAACTAATCGCACGGATTAAAATCAAGTAACGATTAGTGTCTGTGTCTGTGTCTGGTGAAGTTATGTAGGGTCATTAAAAAAAAAAATAAAAAATAAAAAAAAAATAAAAAAAAAAATAAAAAATAAAATAAAAAAATCACACACGTACATTGGACATCTAGGGATAATGTAATTCGTACTTACCAACATACCTATTGATGGGCACAATAGCCAACGCTATCAGGAAAGAGGAAAACAAAACAAAAAATCATTATAATAATTCCTGTAATTTTATTAAATGGAGTTTATTGTGTAAGTGTTTCTTTGGCTTTGCGTTTGGGTTGAATACAAGTGGGTTGTGATAACGTGGTGTGCTTCTGTGAAGAAGGAGTTTTGTGTTTTTTAATTGTATTTATGGTGTTTCTTTGTTCCTGAGGTCGTATTTGTGAGGTTGCTTGGGTTTTTGGTGAGATATTGCAGTATTATTATTATTATTATTATTATTATTAATTAGAATAACTTTGAATTTCAGGATTAAAATATACAGGATCTTCTATTTAAAAAATGAAAACTGTCCGATAAAAGATTATTAAACAAAGAAACTTTTGTAGCAAACTTTTTTTCTGTATCTCTTTTAACAAAGAAAATATAGTGTCATTCTGAATTTTTTTAACTTTCTCCCGTATCTTTTAAACAAGCAATTATTGGTTTGTTAAATTAAAGAAAAAGAATTTAATCTGCTTTTTGTTTATTAAAATATATAGGGTGTACTATTAAAAAAAAATGAGGTTAAGTCCAATAACTTTTTTACCTGTCCCCGTATACTCTATAACTAACCAAATATAGGGTCATTCCGCAATTGAAATGTTTTTAGTTTCCCCCGTATCTTTTAAGCAAGCGAATAGCATCACTGGTGCGAGTGCGTTATATTAAAAATATGAATATAATGCCATTTTTTTTATTAAAATATACAGCGTATACTATTTAAAAATTGAGGTTAGGTTCGATAACTTTTTTAATGACCCCGTATATTTATTTTTAAAACTGAAGACAAAAAAAACTTATTATATTGCGTTTTGACCGTCCGAGTTAAACCAAAATCGACGATTGCGAATTGAAATAAAATAATTTCAAAATGGCGCCGCTACTGGAAGTTGATGCCATCTTGGTTTTTTTTAAAAATAGACACATGCCATTTTCTTTTTTTTTCGAAATGCGTCGTTTTATGTTGAGTTCAACGCATTTACGATTTGCGTAGGTACCAATCTGTCATAGTTTTTGACATGCCAATTATTGTCTAAAATTTGGAAATGTAAGGATCCCGAGAAGCATCCATTTAAAAATTCATATCTCTTAAACCGTTCAAGATAAGTGAGTGTAATCGAATCCATAGTCAAAAGAATTTTTTGAGTGACCGCTGAAAGTCTCGAAAAAGTTGCCATGGCTGCTGCGATGTTTAAAAAAATGTCAAAAACTTCGGTTTTTCAAATTGCACCTATTTCTGAGGCTAAATGAATGCAGAATTTGAATTTTAAGGGCGATTTTATTAACAATAGGTATGCCTATATTCGGTAGTTTTTGAGTTATTGGCATTTTTGAAAGAAATATATATTCGAGGAAATATTTTTGCGAAATATTGAAATATTCCGAGAAATATGAATATGAATTTTTGAATGGATCATTGCATCTCCAAATTTTTGGTTGACATGTCAAAAACTACTTACGGAAATCTTAAATGCGTTGAATGAAAATAAAATATTTCTATTTAAAAAACCAAGATGGCGCCCACTGCCGACACTTTTACGGAAGCGACGCCATCTAGAAATTATTCACCACCATGGTCGAGTATGCCTGTAAATCAAGTTTGTACTATGCTGTCGAGTCACCTTTGGAATTTTTGTTTACATGGGAAATCATATTTAACTTTAACTTCCAAAGGCGACTCGACGTCCATACTTTTTTGAATCTCCCGCTATATCAACTGCAACTTCCCTCTGTTCAATGAATTAATTTTTTGTACAAGTAGTTCCCAAAAAACTGAAAATAAAATCTGTCCGCCCACAATATGCACATTAGTATCGGAATAGCAAACGATTTTTACAAAAAATGCTTTTCTGTACACTATTTACTTGACCCTTTTTAATAGCCTGTATGGTGACGTTCACGAACGACCTCGCATTTTTAAACCAAATTAATTACCCGTTAATTGGCTTTGCCGGTGGGCTCCTAATAACTATGATTAGTCGCTCAAAAAATAAATTCGTCATTAGACTCGACACATTCCCGCTTTATCGGTCTACGATGGGTGCAGGTGCTCAAAACTGACAGCAAAAATGCTAGATAAACAGACAGCAAACGGATAACGAGAAAATTGGGTCATATTGATAATAACTTGCGAATCAGACATGATTTCCACTCGGGAGCATTACTGGGAAATGACCCACCAAGTCATCCGGCCGAAGGGCTTTCATTACAATCAATGAAAGGGGAACAATCTCGGTTACCGATATCGACATATCGTTAAAAAAAATGGAGAGCCAGCTCGTTTGTTTATTAAAACAGGCAAATCGCGATAAACCACTTAATTTTATATACGTGACACGGAACGTGGAAACTTCCCTTAGCTTTTGAGACTGGGGTGTAACGCATGGATCTAAGTTTGGTCCACTACTATTTCTCAACAATTAAAATTGCAAAATTATTATACCATTGAATTTGTACATTACATTCACACACTCATATATATGCTCTTACAATGTAAGCGTTAATAAAAATTTTTCTCACAAGTAACCTGACTGACAAACCTGAGAAGGAACCCTGACGATAGATTTTTATCAGGAAGAGAACCTTATTACAACGGATTATCATCAATCCCCATTAAAAATTTGTGGGGTCTTCACGAGCATGTTAGCTGTATATCAAAAATTTTCGAATTCCCAAAAGCGATCAGCCACAGACCTAGCAATATACCTAAACTATATATAGGATATTTCAAAAGTGATAAGTACAACAAACGTATGGCTTCGTATTCGTCCAAAAACGACGAATAGGTATTTCAAGTATGGGATACCAAATTGAGTACGGATGCATTGGCAAAATGTGTAGTGCTATTTTCTACTTGTATTACGTCTGAAAGTCGGAGAAAGTTATTAACTTCAAATTGCTGCAAGTTCATAAAACGTGGAACGGAAAAGATTTTCTCATTCCTTTGGGAAATTCTCTCAACCGTAAAAACAAGAACGCCAATTTGGCTCGATGTTTTTTGGAGACGTAAAGTAAATTTTGAACGGAATGTTAATGGGGTAGTGACGTGTGCGCCTAAATATTTTGCTCGACCTTATCAGCTCACGTAACTACGTTAACAGATAAACGCGTGAAATTCGATAACGTTTTATACACATAATAAAATTTCACAATTCCCAAAGTGAACGTGCAGAAACTTTCAACGGTTGGGCAAATGCAAAAATCACCTCATGGAAGAGAGCGAAGTAACGTGGGAGGGGGTGCTTTTACTTGGTTTCCCAAACGTTACCTAAATTTTACGTACGTGCTACGTAACAAACACGCCTACTTTAACTAGGCATTGGATAAGCGGGGATCAGGTGATTTTTTTCCGGCTACAATCTAACATTATCGAAACTTAATTACGGTTTCTTTAAACATCCGGTCAAATTACAACCACAAAAAATTGATAGGCTCAGATATAGCAATGCAAGTTAGTAGGATATTTATAAATATTATGGAAACGACATGGGAATAACAGGTGGTTGACCCACCACTCTGAGAAGATGCTCACTTACCAGCTAAAGTAAATCGGTCCATATAATTAATTAAATTAATGAAACATAAAATAGTAACAGTAATCCAGTCTCTTAAAGTTACATCACGTATACTTCTATTGGTAACCACGACGACGTCGGGATGTTCTTCGGCATCTACAAGATTCTGCAAGGAACGATTTTGCGTAATTCCGGGCTCCATGTTTAGTAATTTTATGGTATAATTGGGTTGCTTATCTAAGTCCTGGCCCGGCATAATTCAACACTACTGACCGACTAACGCACACACGACTTGTACATGAGCGAGTGCCAACAAATTCGGTCTGCATCTTGGCGGTTCTTGTCATTAACGCTTGCGCAATACCGCTAAGGTGCAAAAGGTAAAAAAATTTCGAAATTCGCGTAATAATAAACGTTCGTCGTAATTGCCCAAGTATGTACCGTTAACAAGGCTCTTTGTTATGTACAAACATAAATAACAATATTCACAAGTTGCACAATACAATAAGGATGAAGTTGAAACAGCTGATCATGACAACTACACTACAGCGACTACTGTGCTGTGACGTCAGTAAAACACCCGAATGCGGCCGCTTATCGGCAGGAAGTATTGTTGCGACATCTCCCGTGGTTTATGCGCACCTAAACGGGGAAACTGTGGCGAACTGACACATTCGCCAGAAGATGGCACAATTTGAAATTAAACCGCGGTATAATGAATTATTGAAATTATTTTATTGCTTTCTGTCCCTAGTAGCAACAAAATAGGAGTTGCAGAAAGCGCAAAAAGGTTGTTTGGACCCCGCCTCATACGTAATTATACCCTTTCTTCAGCAGTCTGGGCCCGGGAATAATTGATTACCAGACCCTTATTATTGCAAATTTTTCTGGACATTTCGCTTCTTTACTCTTAGATTTAAAAGCTGAACATTTGAATAGCAATTTATTCAAATCATAGAAACTATCACAATATGCAAACAGCATGCCCCAAGGCATTTGCCACTGCCCTTGGCTGTCATTATGTATATAAGGCGGGACCCAAACAAAGTCTCATATAACTGTTTTATGCCGAGAGCTCCAAGAACTACAAGTAGATATCAACGCGCTCGTCTTGCTTAATTAACAATGGGCGCCCTCATAGGTGCGATCAAAGTTCGCCGGCCTACAGTCTAGGAGCTGATGAACATTTGAGTTCTTTCAAATCGCCTCTTCAGGGAATTTAAAAATTAACCGCTGACAAAGGCTATGATTTTTTTGAATAGCTTAGTAGGCACTTTTACCATTGTAGAATGCATTTAAGTAAATAAGTAAAGTGGCGAAAGTTATACATTGCTATTTATTAAAAAGTAGACATAGGGATTTACATATTGTTTTTCCCTATGTCTACTTTAACTGACAAAATCCTTCTGAAAAGTGCCTAATTTTATGCAACGAAAGTAACTTCTTAAAACAAATTAATATCTGGCTGTCATATTAATTTGAATATTGTCGTTTTGGCTTCCGCAATTTTATTTTCGTACGGGTATGATCTATTCAACTGAAGAAAACGTTGATATTGTCAATTAGTATAGTGCCGGTAATAGTTTAAGAAATGTAAGAGTTTATTTCCTGTGAAGCCAAAGCAACAATATTTAAATTAATTAGTATCACAGTCAGATCTTTATGTGTTTTAAGAAGTTATCTTGGATGTATAAAATTAGGCGCCCTTCAGAAGAGATTTTGTCATTTAAAAGTAGACATAGGGAAAAGCAATATGTAAATCCCTATGTCTACTTCTTAATAAATAGCACTTTATATTATGTCAAGTGTGTTAGAACATATTAAGATCAGAGCAATCGTTTTTTGAGATACTTCAAATAATTGTTGAGTTATAAATAGTTAAAATAAAATATTCTTACTTCGTATTAAATTTAAATAGATTCTCATTGGAGTTTGGATCAAATATATGTAAGCGGAACTTCGTGAAACATGAAAACATCGCGTTTTATTACGGCTCGCTAAGGTAGCTTTATTCTACCAGGAGGTGCGCGGCCCACATATGGGAACTTCGTACGCGACATCCAAGAAGGACGGTCGAGAAATAGAGCAATGTATCGAGCCTATTGTTACTGTTCAATAAACGCCCATTGTAAATGGTTGTATAGTGTTTACTTTAGGGGTGTAATACCCCTAATCCTTTATACCGTTAATAGGTAATTTTACATATAATAGTTTATGGGTGAAAGCAACAATTGCAATTTCAACGAATGATCACTTTAACGACAACAGTAGATAAAGTGAAACAAATCGTTGTGCATTTCAATGACATATGTGATTCTATTTAAAAATGGGGCGCGGCGCACGAAATAAAATTATGTTCAACGAGATACAATATTTATCTTGAACTACTATAAAATAAAGTTCTGTGTATTATACACGACGACGATAATGGGAAACACAAAACAATCCTCTTGAATAATAAACAATCTATTGTTACGTACCTATACATATAGGAAAATTAACTATCAAAATGGTTTTTTCTTTCGAAATTGGTTTCTGGTCTATAACTTTTGACTGAGAAGTCTGATCGAAAAAGTACGAATTATTTTGGATTCTACGCACCAAAATTAATAAGAAAAAGTGTTTTCCCGAGAAATTTTGGTGCAGTCGATTTTTGGTAAAAAAAGGAAGGTTATACACTGCCTTTTTTTGAGGCCCGAAAAAAAAATTGTCTCAGATCGACCCGGAAAAAAATTTTCTTATAGAATGTGGCCTGTAGAATCCATAATTTCAAACAGTTCTAAGATTGGGCTACTATTTCAAAAGTTACAGCCTTTTGAATTTTTTTTCGAAATTGGTTTCTAGTCTATAACTTTTGATTGAGAAGTCTAATCGAAAAAGTACGAATTGTTTTGGATTCTACGCACCAAAATTAATAAGAAAAAGTGTTTTCCCGAGAAATTTTGGTATAGTCGATTTTTGGTAAAAAAGGAAGGTATTACACTGCCTTTTTTTGAGGCCCCGAAAAAAAATTGTCTCAGATCGACCCGGAAAAAAATTTTCTTATAGAATGTGGCCTGTAGAATCCATAATTTCAAACAGTTCCAAGATTGGGCTACTAGTTCAAAAGTTACAGCCCTTTGAATTTTTTTTCGAAATTGGTTTCTAGTCTATAACTTTTGATTGAGAAGTCTGATCGAAAAAGTACGAATTGATTTGGATTCTACGCACCAAAATTAATAAGAAAAAGTGTTTTCCCGAGAAATTTTGGTGCAGTCGATTTTTGGTAAAAAAGGAAGGTTATACACTGCCTTTTTTTGAGGCCCGAAAAAAAAATTGTCTCAGATCGACCCGGAAAAAAATTTTCTTATAGAATGTGGCCTGTAGAATCCATAATTTCAAACAGTTCCAAGATTGGGCTACTAGTTCAAAAGTTACAGCCCTTTGAATTTTCTTTCGAAATTGGTTTCTAGTCTATAACTTTTGATTGAGAAGTCTGATCGAAAAAGTACGAATTGTTTTGGATTCTACGCACCAAAATTAATAAGAAAAAGTGTTTTTCCGAGAAATTTTGGTGCAGTCGATTTTTAGTAAAAAAGGAAGGTTATACACTGCCTTTTTTTGAGGTCCGAAAAGAAATGGTCTCAGATCGACCCGGAACAAAAATTTTCTTATAGAATGTGGCCTGTAGAATCCATAATTTCAAACAGTTCTAAGATTGGGTCACTATTTCAAAAGTTACAGCCCTTTGAATTATAACTTTTGATTGAGAAGTCTAATCGAAAAAGTACGAATTGTTTTGGATTCTACGCACCAAAAAAAAAATGCTACAAGATGCATATCAAATCTAATTGTATTGTCTTAATTCTAAAGCTATTTTGTGTACAGTTTGCGAAAATGATTTATGTAATACACAAATGCATTGAGGGCAAATATTTTAAGGTACACACATTTTGATCCGAATGTAATGAAACGTAAACAAAAAATCTCGAAACACGAAAATATGAGAACCTTAAAAATGTAGGGTGCTAGGTCCTCTGGTGACCATATTACGAACTTGATTTCCTGAAACTCAAACGTGTATCCAGATTATGTATAGATATAGAAGTCTTTATTATATAGTAGATAGTAAAAGTTTAAGTATAATATCACATTAAATAAACAATTAAAGATCACACCCTACTTAATACAGCGTTGCAAGAACATAAAACACACTGTGGTGCGTGAAATAGGAAATAAACGTAATTGTACTGTAAAGTAAGAGTATTGAACATTAAAAGCGTATTAGTTAGGGTACCAAGATAATTGCAAATATAAAGCTTGAATAAGGAAACCCATTCTATGTCCCAATAACTTCGGTAAACGTATATAGGTAATACTTGAAATACTAAATACAGCCTTTAAGTGGAGGTCTAAGCTTTCGATCCTCTATTCTGTCCGCTCCTATACTTCCTTCCTTCACCAGTGTGATACTGATTATTATTGGAACCTCGTCTACTTTGATACTGTGAATTATTACCGCCTCCGTTCGGGATTAGTGTCGGCAACGGAGTGTTATCGCCGCCATTTCCTCCATTTCTCTCGACACCCCTGCCACCATGCCAGTAGGTTTGCGCATGTAAAGGCGGAAACCAGTTTCCCCGGTAGTGTCCGGCGCTGTTGCCGCGATTACGTCCGCCGTTGCTCCGATTATTTTGCCCCCTCTGATTCTGGTAGGCGCCGCCGCTCGTACTCGCGGCGCCGTCCTGTCGCAGTTCGGAGTTCTCCCTGCGGAGGCGGCGTATTATCGTTTCGGCGTCTTCCAATTTGCGCAAGAGCTCCGGATCGGGCTGGGTGGCGCGTTCGATCTCTCGTTCGCGATCGCGTTCGTATCGTTCTAACTTTCTGGAAACAGAAAATTCGTGTCATAAGTGCGCTCGTTTGGACCCACCCCCGTTTTTGCCATTGGGGACTGCCAAATTGTATACACTTGTCCGTGTTATTCTCACATATGAGCCATTCTTATACTGATGGCCGTTATTTTTACAAGACCTTGGAGCACAAGATCATAGTCCATTTAAAAATGGACTAATCTATTAAAAACTGTTTTAATGATGATTAAGTATTTATGTTATAGTACGGCCTATAAAGAAGTGACAACAGTGACTACCACATAATCCCGATATTGCTCTAGGTGGTATGCTGTCAAAGTAAACAAATTTAGAAGTGAAAATTTGTATCATTATCAGAATTCAGCTTTTGGGCCAATATGGCTTGCTTTGATGCCTAAAAAACTCTATTTCACATACTAAAAAAAATGTAAATTGGAAGCAATGGGGGTTTCAATTGCTTGACCCACACTTACTTCTTTTGCTCCTCGACTATCGCAGAAAGGTAAGCGTTTCTCGTGTCAATATCCTGCAGCTGGATTTTAAGTTCACCCAATTCCTTTTCTAATATTTCCACCTGTAGCGGTGTGACATTCACTTGTTTCGGACTGAAATACGCCTAAAACAAGCAATATTACCAACGATCTTACTGCTAGCGGGATTCAACCTTTGGCTTTGTATCGTCCTCGGGAGATGACGGTGAACTGGGAAGCCCGCCTTTTAGAAATACGAGTTGAAATTGTAGTTCTACGGGAGTGAGTCGATTAAGCGGAGAATGATGTTATCCGAATGCTTACCTCTGTTGCGATGCCTGAGATTATCGACTTCTTTGTGAAGACCGGCGAGCATTTGTGTGTGTTGCTCTTGAAGGAAGCGTATGTTTTGTTCCAATTGTGCGACTCTGGACGCATCGTGTCCCTTGGGTGTATCAATGGGACGACTCGTTAAATCCGATCTTCCACCAGTAACCAACTCTCCATTCAGATTTGAGGTTTTGGGTTTTGTCACCTGGATAGATAATATCTCATCATTAAAGCCTTAAGCTGCAAGCAATGGTTCTACAAAAATTCACCTGCCCGAAAGGTGCAACCGGTATCTTGACCATCACTTTTGATGCCATTTTGTCTTAAAGCAACACAAAACTGAGAGACTGAGAAAAATACACGCGATAGGTACAAATGGATGAATCAGCACGGTAAAAATAAACGCATATGAGCGAAATTATAAATTTAAATTCGAATGTCACAACAAATTATTTAAAACGTTACGCCGTCTTTCCGGTTTAAATATTTATAAAGTTGAAGACCGGTCGTTTTTGTTTATATTTAACGCCGACGACCGTCTTTTGCTAACGCCGCTTCTGCTCACCTACGCAGCGCGGCTTTGTTATTGATTTCTTTAGAAATCAATTAGGGAACACATAAGCGAGGGCTCTTTCAAATACATTTAGCTTCATCGCAAATTTACGTAACTGATGCGTAGGTGTAATGATTCAAAAACATGTTTTTAAATTAGAAGACGGGTCCAGATACATTTAATCGCAGTCAAATGAAAGTGTGAGAACCGTATTCCACCAATAATATGACGCTATGGGGTGTACCACGTGCAACCCCATGGCTTGGGTACAAACATTGATTCATAACGTAGTGAGTCATTTGTTTCAAAACTGAGTTCATGAAACTACAATGACGCAGCAGGTCTTATATTTACGCTCCGCCAACCACTGATTTCATTGTGATGAAAATACACAAATGATTGTTTAAAACGCTAAAAAATATCGTGTAGGTAGTTCCCACTTTTGATAGGAAAGTTACTTATTATGATTCTGGGTCCATAATCCAAAGAATTAATCCACTTGTAAGAGTATGCAGCAAATTTGATATCAGAACTCTTAAGTTTGCCTAATTTTAAAAACCCGCCATTTTAATGTTGAAGAGAGAGAATGGTAAGGCCGTATAGCCAAGGGAGGATAATGGGGGTTCAACAATCCCCTCAGAAATTTGGAACAACAATAAATCAGCGGAAATTTTGAGGATATGAAAAGGAAACAGAAAATAAAACGAAAGTTTTAAACGATTATGGGAAAATTTATGAGTAGAAAAGATTCACCTTGTCGGCCATCTTGGATTTTCGGGGTCAATCAAATTGATATTCAGAGATTTGATGCCATTAGCCATTTGAACCTTAATCAGATGATAATTTTGATTTTTTAAATTGTATATTGGATTTTGGTCCATACGATCTCCGAATCGATAATTCATCCTGATACACCGCTAAAAAAATCACTACACGATCGACTGGCATAGATTCTCTTTGAAAGCTTTGGTAAGAATCCCGCTCCCCCACCAGATTTGTATCTGAAACGACCAATTTTTTCCTGGACGCAACTTTTGTGGAAAGCGCGCCCTCTTAACCAATACAAATCCCTCGTCACATGCTCGGCGTTTCGCAAAACGAAACAAAAGGTCTGTGAGATCGTGACAACACTGTCACGTTTAATTATTTCACGTATAAAATTTACTATACCCTCAACTTTGTAAATTTGACAAAAAAATCTTTAAACCCTAAAGCGGTATCACATGTTACACTAGATAAATTTTTCTATATAAAGGTGTTTAACATTTTATTATCCATAATAAGGCAGCATTCAGTTCAACAAACAAATGAGTAACGAAAAACAATTGAATTTTTTTAAATAACAAACAAAATCATATTGCTAATTAAAAAAATTGTTTTTCGTCACTCAAAAAAAATGAGTGCTGAAATAAAAACAACTGAATGCTACCTTATGATGGATAGTAAAATGTTAAATTGTCCATAGAAAAAATTTTTAAAGTCGTTATTTACCAAGATATAGTATATTCCATATATATAAAGGCATGGGCTGGCCAGCCTGTATATCTTATGATAAAGACAGGAGGACACATTGCGCACAATAGAGCCTTTTTTCGTTTAATTTTATTAAAATTGGCGTATTGAACAGAAGAGTACGTAGAAAGTCAGAATAGAATATTGCAAAAAATTTGCTCGGTTTCCTTCACACCTACCTACCACAAAAAAGGCGTCACCCCACCCAGAATTGAGTTCCAAGCCCCAGTTTAATAGCAGTACAGGAATTACACAAAAATGTTCTAATATCTTCTAATGAAGGTGTAGGTATACACAGCAGAATCTATTAAGAAACGCACCCATAAAAAAAATGTGTGAAGAATTCAAAGTAGGTACCTACTGAAGTTAGTGTCCACTATAACATTGCCGTTTTTTGAAAACCTGATTCCTGAAATGACCGAAAAAAGCAAGGGTATAATGGAAACTGCATTTGGTATATTAAAATTGAGCAGGTAAAATTCAGGTGTTAGTACCTAGATAGAGAAATATACAAGGTGTCTAGTTAAGTTACGGATACTATGAACGGTATTGCAGTTTATTTATGGCAAGGAGTTTTTGTATCAACAATACCATTATGCAGATAGATTACCTAATGATGCCCTTTTCATAATATCCACTACATACAGGACACCCTATGTATCAATAAGCTTGAAGAGCGACTTGCTTCGTGCCTACTACCTTTTGATGGTATGTGACACTTACCAGAACCTGTCGTATGATATCCAGTTCATCGTCTAAGGGCGGTAAAACAATGGTGTTGATTGGCAGTCTTCGATCCGCATACAGCATTCTACTTCTCGAAGAACGTAGGTGCTGCATACTTTTCATGATACGAAAATATTTGGCATTTCGAATTATTTTGAACTACAAAACCTAAATGCCCATTAGAACTTATCCATTACCTCAATTGTGTCGGAATCAATATGAATTTGATTGATAACTTAACCTTTCACTTGATGCACCTGCTGCGGAGGGTGTAAACAAACAGGTGGTTACCATGGATACCCATAGGTGACTTGTCAACACAAAAATGACATTTAATTTACATTACATCAATTTTTCACTATTACACTACTTTTTTTAAGTTTTTCTGAACGTATGTTAAAATGTAAAATGAAAGACATCCAAGTAAGACATATTCCCTACATTTACCAGTACTTATTACCTAATTCTAGGCGGCCAGTTCCATGGATATAATCACTTTGGCTAAACAATTAAACAATGACCATTTGAGAGAAAAATTGTTGGATAGTTTCATACTAAAAAAACGCACACAAAAGGGGAGGAAGACCCGATTTAAGGTTCATCCGGATACGTTATCTTCCTCAGACTCTGATGAACCGAACGAGCAGTGCACGAACGGGTTTACGCACCACCACCGTTACCTTTACGACTGCACCGAAAAGCTTATGTGCGATCATGAACAGGCCAGCTCCGTTAGCATTCCATCACCGAAGCATTCGGAAGTGCTGCAGACTACGATTCCGAAGCAGTTTCCTAGCAGAGTTAAACGAAAAAGCACACCGCGATCGCCGAACGTACAGCAAATGGATGCGAAACTCCTCTCTCTTCTGCAGAAAATCTATTTGTGCATCGAGAGTATTAGGTAGGTGTCCGTGGAGAGTTATTGTCGATAAACTTATGGCCGTAGAATCTCAATAGACTTGAAAATTGTCAAGCCCGATGGCACAGCTGAATGGGAGAAGAGGCGTACGCGATCTGCGGAGTTCTGCTCTCGACTACAAAGAAACTATCTCTACCAACTTACTCGTCAGGTCTAAACACCAAACGGTGGTGATGTCAAAATTTATACCTAACACTGTTTTAGATCGCAGATTTGCAGGTAAAGGGTAGAAGTTCCGATCAGGCACTACCCCTACTCACTAGCGCATATCAAACTTTACTGCAAGCATTTCAAGCATACCACAATCACATTCCAATTTCGCTAGGTGATCTTGTCCCCGATAAATTGAGGATGCTTGTTGAGTATGCCAACGAATTATGTGATTTCTATGTGGAGTTGTTACGTGAGGAGACCGATGGACTGCTCAAGAAGGATTTGTTGGAGGTATTGCTCCTTTTTACTGTCAATTAGGCTAGGTCTATTTGCCACATTTAATTGCAAGTGCAATGTGCCAGTTAAAATGAGCAATTATAGATTTGTATGATTTGTGATCACTTTTAGAACATTCGAAATGGTTGCGCCATGGTTTTGAGTAGGGTAAACGAAATGACGATTCCCCTTCAGGAGACAGTCTCAAAAAGGAGGTCCGTTTCGAAATCCTCCCTAGCATCAAGGAAAAAGTGCACATGCAAGAAAGCGTTGAATGATAAACTCTCCATGTACTCGATTCCCAATGCGTGTAAAAAGGATTTACTGTTGAAGAAATCGACCGCCGAGAAATTAAACGGTGTAACTAGGTAGTGGGGGGCGCAGTGTTCTTATGCTCATTAATGGTGAACACTTTAGGTGTGGGCCGTGTGTACAGTCGAGGTATAAAACGGCAGGATTTAAGCACAGACCCCCTGTGAACAGATCTGCGCCGGCGAAACCGAAACTCTTCCCCAAACGAACATTGGAACCTATCAAAGAAACGCCAGTGGAAAGTCCGAAAAACCATGACGATATTGAGACAATGGTTAAGGTACATAAGGACAAAGAGATGACTAAAATGAATCAAAGCATAGATACGGAATGGGAACAAGTGGTACTGCAATTTAGAGGTTTATGTGAGAGTCTTACTGCTAAAGAAAAGAGAGTAAGTAGTTATTTGTCCATTATCAGACACCTACAGTTAAAAAAGAACAGGCATCATATTTAGGTCTTTTGCACTGCTTCTCTGTGGGTGGAGGATTCCTCATCATGTTTGTGCAGCTAGGTTTCCACCAGAGTGCTACAGTCAACCCTTTCATATAGGTACAGGGGGGTTCACGTAGCCAGTCGGTTAGAAGTTTTAACTTGCGGTTGAAATAAAAAAAAATTCAAGATGGCGCGGCTTGCCTCAATTCCGGAAGTGGCGCCATCTCGGCTTTTTTAAATAGAACATACCATTTTTGCTAAATGCACTATTTTATTCTAATTCAACGCAATGAGGGCGAATACCTCTCTGTAAGTGCATTAAATGTTTGTTAGTCTTGACGTTGTGATACAATTGTACATAGTTTTTTACAAAAAATAAAAATAAGAATTTATAGTTTTTGGCACATCAATTTCTATGAATTTGAAGATGGCAGGGTGCATTCAAAAATACCTACAGTTCAAGAAAACTGAGCACTCTTTTTTATAATTGAATCCGTAAAGCCCAATGAATTTATTTAGTAACCGTCGACAGTCTGCTGCGATTTTTCAAAGTTAGCAATCAAAAAATGTCAAAAACTTAACAGTACTTCAGATTTAGGGTCACTTTTATTAACATTCTGTATGTCTGTATCCAGCAGTTTTTTAGTTATTGAATAACAAACAAATTAAAAACAACACAAAATGGAGATAATGATCCATAGTGAAAATTGGACGAATTAGCTTGAACACTAAAGGTAAGTTCATAGCTCTCCGTTCATACGTTTCCGTTTGTCCGTTAGCCAATCAGAAGACAGCAAATTTTTAAATCGTACGTCGTCCGTTTACGACGGAAAAGTTGGTTGAAGTTGAACATTTACGTTTCCGTTGGTCCGTTTTTAACAAGAGTGAGGTTATGTTTGGTACGTTAACAGCGTTCGCCTACTCGTTCTTCACGGTAATATGCCAGATAGCAATGTGTTCTTACTTTCGTACCTTTTTTACATACTGAAAGTCACTGACGGTGCAGTACAAAATAAAGTTTAGGTTATGATTATACTTATTTGCAAATGTACAATGTGGACGGATTGCTATGAACCTTGACAAAATGTACTATCCGTTTGACGGATCAACGCAACGGATGAACGGACAGCTATGAACCCACCTTAAGATTGTTTGACATTTGATTCGAAGTACATTCCAAATAAAACGATTGTTTCCAAAGCCTACTACACCTAATGAAAAATAAGAATATTTCTTTCAAAAAATGCCAATAACTACCGGATGGATACAGAATGATAATAAAAGTGGTTCTAAAAATTCATTTCTGGCATTAGAAATAGTAGTTGAAGTTTTTGACTTTTTTTTTAATTGTTAACTTAAATCGCAGCAGTCCTGGAAACTTTTTTAAGACTTTTGGTGGCCATTGAAAAAATTCCTTATGCTTTACGAGTTCGGTTAAGTATAAAAAAGAGCACTCACTTATCTTGAAAAGAAAATTTGACGTGTCAAAAGCTACAATGAAAATTTAGAATAAAATAGTGTATTTAGAAAAAATAGAAAATGACATGTTTGTTTTTAAAAGAAACAAGATGCCGCCACTTCCAGTATTTACGGAAGCGGCGCCATCTTGAAATTATTTTATTTCAATTCGTGACGGTCGCTTACGGTTGTAAACCAAATTTCACGTTTCTATTTCCACTCCAAGTTAAAAAACTTCTAACGAACGGGTTACGGGTTCTTTATTGACAATCCTGCATAAGACTTTTGTCAGGTGCAGGGAGATGCAATTCAAAGTGTAAGGAATTTTTGAGTGATCGCTGAGAATCTTGAAAAAGTTTCCAGGGTTGCTGAGATTTTTCAAAATTACCAATCAAAAAATGTCAAAAACTTCCTTCTTCATTCCGAACAACTTTTTTAAAAACATTTGTATGTATCTCGTCTCCAAAGAGGAACATTTTTTGAAAAGCCGCCCAAGTTTTTTTTTTTAAATTCAATATCTTCTCAGTTTCATAAATGGCAGTAGTTACCCTTCCGCTTAAGTTTTAAAAAAAAATGCACCCCAAATTTTTGACATTGACAGATGATTATGAATAATCGCCACATTAATTACTTTAACTGAAACTTTTAAAAAACACAACGCAATTATTTCCAGATGTCCCAAATATTTCTTAATGTAATCCCACCAATCAAAATACAAGGCGATTATTTAAACAAAATTAAAGCAACGTCGACTTCAAATATGGTCAAATTTGTGTTCCAATTCAAATAAAAACCACATTTAAACCTAAATAAAATGAAATTTACCTCATTACTATTATGGTCACTTTGTCCGTCCCTACGGCTGTGTTGCTACTAGATGAGCCGTTCTATTTTTGTCGCTAATTGGTTTGTTATGGTGTCGAGACTTGCACCAGCGGAGGACTTTTTCTGCGTTTATTACTAAAAAAGTGATAGTAAAAAAATCGACATCGGTTAGGTTGGATTTATTAATAGCTATTTATATATCAAGTACATAAACTGGGTCTTTATGGACGAGCCGGTTATTTGGCCGAGCGAGCTTGCGAGCGAGGCGCAAATAAATACGGCGAGTCTACATAAAGCCTATTTATGGACGTGATATATCTGACGACTTCAACAACCCTTAAAGAAGAAAATTTCATGGAATTTAATAAATGATAAAATCTATATATCATTGACAACAGATGTCAAGCATTTGTCAAGTATTTCTAAAATACTGGCATGTACCTTGGATCGACACCTGACTACGACTGTCACATTGACAGGCGGCCCTTTTACTTTATCATTATGGACTAGGCCATCATATTGGAAATTATGGCCGCTAATTGCGACTTTAATCACCGTATTATAAACCAGTCGTACATAAAATTCTTAACGTTTTCAGTAGGTAGGAAAACTGTTTAATTTCTTCTTATCAAACTAATCGTTAAGTTTCGTTACTTTACCAAAACCGTATCTTTCATAAAAGACTAAGGAAGTGTGCCATTATTTATGGGAGGAATTTTCTGAAATGTTCTTGCTAAAAAAGTAAAAGTAAAAAATCGCACAAAAAATAGAAGTATATACATTTAAGAGGCGCAAGAAAATTAATACGCATGCGCAGATTTAGATATTCTTATTTGTGGTCCAATTCTGGTTAAATTTTTTTTCGGAAACCAGAAGGCATTAGAAAAACGTTTTTGCCCTCTCTATCACCCATTTTTTTTTACATAATAATAATAATGCTTTTAATTATCCAAAAAAATGTACAGAAATAAAATACAACTTCTACAAGGTTAAGTTCAGTTCGGCGGAAAATACCGTCGTCTGTTCCTCCACTTAACCTTGTTTCCATATTTACCGGCTATGTCCTGTATATTATTGATTGAAAATGTTTGATCAATAAATAAAAATAAGCGAAACAAAAAAAAACACTTCCATTATTTTCCAAATATTTCATTTACCATAAATAGAAATAATAATAATAATAACGGTCTTTATTAATTTTGTTTTTGATAGCCACGAAAAATACATTGCCTAGGGCGTGATTCAGGAGTAGAAAGGATACCCCTGCTCTTTCATCTAACCCATAATGATTCCACTTAATCGACAATGTTGTGGTCATTAGTACGTAGAGATATAACATGGATTTTACAAGACATTGAATCACAGAAAAGAAATAAAAATATTAAAAATAAGATAAGTAAAATAGAAACAAAATTCAAAAGTGCTCTAATTATTATTGCCGTAGCAACTTCGAAATAATGCGAGTTCTAAATGCTTTGAAAGTGTACTTACTGATGTCCATATCTAGTGTATTAAACCATTGCGTTAAATTATAAGAGAATGACCTCTCAAGTATTGCCGTTGCATGAATAGGTGGTGTAAGCAGCCGTTTATGGCGTAAATTTAAGGTATGAACATCAGTTCGAAATTTCAACTTGTTATAGAGATAAGGAGGCGTCTTATTTATTAATAGTTTATAATAAAAGCAGGCTTTCTTGAAAAGGAGATATATGGCGTCTATGGTTTTAGTAAAAATATTAATTATTTTATTATATGATATATTACTATATTGAATCAACAAATGCAACGTGATAATTTATATAAACTAATAAACTAAAAGCACCATACAGCAGGATACAGTAAAGCCAAAGCATGATCGAACAGTAAATGTTCTAAGTACATTTCGAGCATATCGGTTTTCCAGCTTGTACACTAAACGAGTCCTCGTCAATTGGCTGCTTGCACTTCTAAAATCGAACAGGGTAGATTTGTTAGGACAATTACAAGGTCATACCTGGCACACGAAGCATTCCTGATGCCACTTTTTATCGAGTGCGACTACCGCCTGATCCATCAGCGGTTGTCCACACTGCGCGCACTTTTCGCCGAATTTCTCATAGAAATCCTTCTTGCAATAGGGATGCCCGTTCTTCTCCATAAAACTGGTGCCGCACAGACTTGTCTGGCAAACGGTGCACACGAAATGCTCCTCGTGCCAGTCCGCACCCAGGGCATGTATTATTTTCTGCACAAACTGTATGAAGCGCAAGCTTTGATCATCTCAACTTACGTTTCGAATGGGCTGTTTGCAAGCGAAACATTTCTTAAGAAACATTATCGCATAATCTTCATCGCAGTACGGCTGACCTTCGTGCTGTTGGAACTTATTGTCTTTAATCGGCCCCTTGCATTTCGCACACACGAAATGCTCCGGATGGTACGTCTTCCCGAGAGCGCTCAAGACCTACCGACAGTAATAAGTGCACGGAATACTATTAGATCACTTACCTGGCCTGTTATCGGCTTATTGCAAACGACACAAGTAGAACTCTGCAATTCGCATTTTTGTTAGGAATTAATCTTTGAATTACTTACCATTGCAAATTTAGGTCAAGTCATTTGACAGAGAAATGTTCACAGTTCACTGGATCATTTAAATGTACAGGCTAAGGCAACTCCTTATTGATTCTTCTATTTTAGGAGGTGAGTCAGGCACAATTAGAGATTTTATTAAAAAACCTAATGGAGATGGCTCTAAGTGGAAAAATCAATAACAACACACCGAATGGTATAAATGGGTCGCACATCAACAGCTGCAAGGATTCGGGCCCGACGAAGAGTTTACCGAATTTGGCAGTCTCGAAAACTCAAAATGGAGAAATTCACATTAAGAATGGATACAATTTGGAAGGATTGAAGACAAGTGCAGAGAACAAACAGGAAAGCACTCATTCGTTACAAAGCCAGTGGTTAGTATATCAAAATGAGTCACATAGGTGACTACATTTCTTGATAGTTTATCAGCGATTACTAATAGGAGGGTGGTAAAACTTTTATTAGCGTTTACAAAATATCTACAAAGTTTGGGTCCAGTTAGACTTTGTGCAATGAAAAGGATTATTAATGACGAATTCATGCACCAGTTTAAAAACTGGCCCTATTTATTTTCTCAGCAGTTTTCTTTTATTCTTTTGTTTCAATGCTTTTCTTTACTAGTTAAATTGAATTATACCTATCAGAGCATTAAACTAATTTGTGTTCTCACAAAAATCTTTTCTCAGCATTCCCAACCAACCATTCATTTTTGTTTAGAGCATTAGTACTTGGGATTTTCAAAATTTTCCTAAAATTTTTCTATTTTCCAGGAAAATCCTGGAAGTCAGCGGTGCGAAAAACGCCCAATTGATATGTATCCGAGATGAAGGTTCAGGAATTGAAGTTCCCAAGAATCCCAATCCTTCTCTGGCGACTCTACCACCCGAAACAACCGAACATGAACCGGCGCCCATCACAAAGGTTCTAGCCGAGCGAATAGAAAACGAAACTGTACCATTAGAAACAAATGTAAAAATTAGTCACCCACCACCACCACGAAAATTGACGCCACTACCGAAACACAAAATTAAAACGATTTTGCAAGGCAAATTAAGTCACGCCAAGGTGATGAAGATGTTGCCGATGTATTGTAAGTCGACAGATCAACATCCCTGGGAGGTGGTTGATAAGTAAGGTGTTCTACGTCTACGATCTTGCCTAATGCATCTTTGTTACAGCATAACGCATAGGTTGTTAGAAGACATACTGTTAGTAATTTCCAAAGAAATTCAAGTGGGCGACATTCTACAAAGTTTATACAATTCGGAATTTTTGTGAATTTTCTTTATGTATTATTTATACAATATACATGAGAAATCACTTCCGATTCATTGTGTACCTTTATCAAAAAATGTTTTGGGTTTAAATTCAGTTGAGGTTTTGAGATGACAAAGCAAAGTGCAATTTTTAGAACATGTATTTCAGGGCGTTCTCAACATTGGCAAATCTAGAGCTGCAAATAATATCACTGAACGATGTCCTAAGTTGCACCTTTGCAGATTTCCATTCATTTAAATGTAAATGATTGAAGATGCACGTTTGTTCATAGCTTAGAGAACATTTTGATGACTTTAATGTTTCAGCTGAAGGTTGTACCCCCCTTCACAGTAGATAAATGTCTGAAACGACACTGTGATAGTTTTCCTACGATTTTTATAAACCTGCATAAAAATTGCAGTTAGCTCAAATATAAAAAATAGCTGTCAACATTTTCAAGCAAGCAGAAGCGTCATTAATTAACAGATATGTCGTTGCTTAAATAGAGACAAAATGCTAGGTTACTCTAGTCAAACTATTCTTTTTGCCACAAAAACGCAGGAAAAGAAAGGCATGCGCAGCTCAAAGCCAGCTCATTAATTGCTGCAAAAAGACTTGCATGCAATTTTTATAAAACCGGGGCTATTTTTCTTGCATGAACCGCGCAGGGATAAATGTTTGCGTCACCAACCTTTTTTATTAATCTTATATTTAAATTGCACCATGTCAAATACAATTATGCAATGCTTTGCTCTTGCAATTCCTTGAGCGTTGCATTGCTCCAAGTTAAGCCCTTAGTATCTGCATACAGATTGAGATAAATTCATTACTTTAGCCTAAACTTTCCGGTATCAATGAAAAGTTTACAAACGGGGTACAATAAAAATGTAGAAAAATTCCTAATAAACTGGACCTACTATATACAAGAATAATTTTAAATATGCCCCAATCAATAACATAGTGTGATGTTGAAAGGGTGTTTCGAGATACAAATTAGTATTCACTTACGAATGGCCATTTGAAAATGTATTATTTTAAACTGTAATGTAACTAATAAATAGGTTTTGGTACATTTATTTTTTCTTTGGTTAGTAAAAATTGGCACAGCTACATATTTTTGAATAGCTATTTTTAAATGCATATATTAAAAAAAATAAATTCATATTTTGGCATTTTACAGAGCATATTATTGCTGTGTAAATAATGTCAAGTACCAAAGCACTAATAGGAACAACATGAGGAAAAGTCAAACACAATCCCTCAGTTAAACTGTTATCACAAATAGTGTTGCAAAATTTTCGTAATTTATATATCATTGCGAATATTCGGAAACTTTTGAGAATATTTCAGCATTTAGGGTAATATTCACCTTTTACCAAATATACTATCCTATTCTATACTAATTACAATACACCAAAGACCGAATTATCTTTTAATAAGGTTATGTTTTTCAAAAACAATAAAATGCATTTGAATTTTAAATTGTTTATTTAACATACATAAAAAAAACCTTTAAAACAAAAAATTCAGACAAATTACAGAAAAAAATTCGAAAATAAAAATTAAGAAAATTCACAAAAACCTAAAATAATCAGGAAAATGCAGAAAATTCCGTGATGCGAATCTTAAAATTTGGTATAATGTTTGCGTAACCTCTTGAAATCGGAGGATGGCAGATTAAAAACTAGTCTAAATTGGAAATTTCAGAAGTATGTTCTGTGAGAAATAATTGTATAAATTTTCGGTGTGCGAATATTTGTTCTTATCAATGCGAATATTCCCTGAAATATTGCAAAATTCGCGCCCCACAACACTGATCACTAATGCCAGCTCGTGTGGCGCAGTTGAGTTGAAGCTCGGCTGTGGTACTAACCGTCCCTGGTTGGGCATGGATATTTGTAAATGTATATTGGATTGGGATATTTTTTTATATTGAATTTTCAGGTGTTTATTAAAATATATCTTTGAATATAACAAACATTGTTATAGAAAAAAGATTTATCTATTACAAATTGAATTTATATTTTAGATGCTTAAACAAGAGTTAGCTCGGGTGGTCATTTTGGACACACGCTGCAAACGAGCTATAATCACAAAAAGGCATATAAAGAAGATCAACATGTACCGAATTGTGCAATTGACACTCATTCAGCACAAACACAAGCCGCTTATTAACAACCATGAGTATACATAATATATGTATAAATGGTCTTACTGTAGATGACCTTGTACCTATGTATATACATCAATTTAGTGCAGACGCATAAATAGCATTACTTTAGACGTCTCAATTCGGGCAAGCGCCAAAAGTAACATGGAACTATACTGCATTCATTATAAGAAGGTAGTAGATGGCGCTGTGTTTGAAGATAAGCACACACAGGAAAGATATAAAACAGCCCCCAAATTATTGTAAAGTACAAATATCCAGCACTCCAAACAGAAATAAATATCTGATATTAACAGCTAATGGACACTCAACAGTTTAGTTGGCAACAGAAACGACCAGCTTGCAAAATTCGCTACTCGTTTTATGTTTCAGCGTAATACTGACTCGTGTTTTAACCAATCACACTGAAAGTCAAAGTTTCCCTATGCTTTCTACCGCTACCTTATTAAAATGAATACAGTATAATATAAAGCGGCCGGCGTAAGGCGGGTTAGCGGACAAAAGTCCAAACTCAATTATACTCAGGTTGTAATACTAAGCGGTTAATTGATTTTTATATTATCACAAGAATACCGCAATAAATAAGTAAACCAAAATCAATCAATTTAATTGTATAAAAAACACTCAAGACTTTACAGACATTTCATTTTAGTTTGAATTTCCAACTGCCCACCTTTTTATTGTTTGCCAGGTGTTTATAACAACACAACTAGCATTTGTTATTCTTTGTCACCGTATATTGGAAATTTTCAATTCATGGTTATAGGTTTTTGCTATAAAAAGCGTTGCAAGTCACTGATTTGATGACGTCAACAATAAACGATATTGCCAAACATTTTTAAGGCATACCGATAATTGTGCAATGCAACATCAGTGTAATGTTTGTCAACTAACACATCGTAGTAACATCTAGTTTTTGGCGCAAAATTTAATACATGTATATGTATTAATTTATTTTAGTTTAATAAATATAAAGTTAATGCTTGATTGACTGATTTTATACGAGCATATGGCACTCTTGGCGTCGTGGAATTTAAGAATAGGGAAGTTCAACAAAGACAAAAACCCAAGACATTTTATTGATGGTAATAAGGTGGAAGATACTTTCCCGACTACCATGCTTATGTATCTTGTTAACATTAAAGAAAATAAGTTTTAATACCCAGTTCTTGTAATTGCGATTTATTTATTGTAAAGTGAATCATCATCACAAGAATAGTATCGTTTTCGGGTAATGTGACATCAGGCTACGGTGTGGTTCAACCCATTCCTTGGAGCAAGGATGTTTTGCCACCGTCAAAACATTCTCGCTTTAAGATAAGCATGGATAGATGCCAATGTAACTTGTTAAAACAAATACATTACCACAATTTCAATCTTATTTGCAACATGTCATATTACACCACGGATAGACGTGCTACTCAATGAATGTGTGTCTGTAAGTTTCTTATTTCGGCAACGTTTCTTTGGTGGCGTTATCAAAGCTTTGTTTAACAGCTTGAGAAATTCTGCTAACCGTCGAAATGTTTAAATTTAATCCTGCCGCAATGCGCTGTAAATGATCACAATTAGTAGAAGTAGTCAGAAGCAATTGAAACTATTCTTACCTCTCGAACACAGCCTAATGGTAATAAGGAACCCCTATTATCTCGTTCCTGCTCAAAATATAGAATTAAGTTTAAGAATTGTGGAGAGTAGGAATGCAAATAATGGTCAAATATAAACAAACGACAATTTTGTTCTCAAAGGAACAGATTTTTTGCATTAAGAGCGAAGATTAATAACAAAAAACCGAACTGAAGTGTCAAATGTCAACAAATAAAATTTAAATCAAACAATAATAAATATAAAAGGTAAAACATTTCCTCCATGAACGTAAATACCCCAAATCCCGATTTAAATTGGCATGTCATTTTCTTCTGTGACATTTCATCATCCGAAACAAGTAATCTAGAAGTATTAATTAATTAGTTACATACAAGGAGCAGATGGATGTCTGAATTATTTTTGAAAATTTATTAACTCACATCAACAATACATTAGGTATTATTACAATGAACAGTCTATAATTACTAATTGCTACAACTTATTATGTATTTCCTACTAAAGTAATCGTTAAAAAAAATAATCACATTATACGTTGCGATACCTACAAAGTAACGTATTTTCATGCTATTAAAATACTCTTATGCAGCTTGCGTCGAAGGACCTAAAACAACCTGAACGGCGTCCTCAGAAAAATTATGTTCCTGAAGAAAAGCGGGTGCATACTGAATGCCCAGCACTTGCCGACAGGCCGCAAAGGCGCAGATCTTCCGGGCTCCCTTCTTCGTGGTCGCCGTACCGTAGAATACGTCGTTTCCGATGGTGCACTTGACGTTAAAGTTGACGTTTGGAGGATTTCCCTCCTTAGAGACCTCCTCGTACACCGCGTGAGGCACCATCTGGTTCAAGAGCATTACTGGATTCATCTCGTGCGCGTTCTCGGGCAGCTTTTTAGCCGGCTTCTTCTCGATTGCTTTGCCCTTACGAGAGTCTGTGGAATCGTTGCCGGTAAAAGAATTATTGCCGGCTTGTGAAACCTGTCAAAGATACGAGACACTATTGAGTGGGGGTTTATTGCCATGGGAAGTACTTGTGCACTGTACCTGTCAGATTTAGAACAATTTGTGTTTTGTCTTTTGCACAACAGTTTTAACATGCGCATAATGTTTAGTAGTCAGAAATGTAATAAGACTATACTTCATTCATTATAAGAAGATAGTAGATGGCGCTGGGTTTGAAGATAAGCACACACAGGAAAAATATAAAACGGCAACCAATTTATTGTAAAGTAGAAATATCTAGCACTGCAAACACAAATCAATCTTTGATATTAACAGTTAATGACACTTCAATAGTTTAGATGCCAACAGAAACTACCAGCTTGCAAAATTCGCCACTCGTTTTATGTTTCAGCGTAATACTGACTTGTGTTTTAACCAATCACACTGAAGGTCAAATCTTCCCTATGTTTTTTACCGCTACCTTCTTAAAATGAATACAGTATAGACAAGATTACCTTTTCAGCCAGATTGACACCGACACCTTCATCCCAACTAGACAGCAGCTTGTGTAAAGCGTAGCATGCCACATGGGACCACGACAGTTCTTCAGAATTTTCATCAATCTCCATCTTTATCTCGGTTTCGCTGGTTTCTGGAACAGGGGCTGGTGGGGTATCCGCAACCGGCGCCTTATTCACTTTACTAAGAACCAAATACTTTAACGCAGTTTCGGCGGCTGCATTTTTGGCACTCGGTTTACTTTTGCCTGGCGATAATAATTACAATCACAGCACACAACTAACGCATCAATCTTACCAAGACCGACGTGATCGATACCGTCCACCTTTACGGTGCATCTGAACACCGCACCACTGAACAGATCGGGAGCCTCCACCACATCATATACCGTACTGCCGACCAACTCATTCAGGACCATAAGCGCGTTTTTCGGCTGTAGCATTTTGCGCAAACGCAAATTGCGACGGCGTCGAAGTTCCTTCTTGTTTATTTTACCGCCGCCTGCACAAAAAAAAAACCGTTTAATTCCCAATCTTTGCTCTTAATTTTCAAGCTAAAATTTACGTATCAGGCAGCACTAGAATGTTTGAACATCGTCGAGGCGCGCTCAACAAATGAACTGGAGCGCGACCAGACTTCAGATTTGCGCAGTGATTTGTCATCATTTTTGTTGCAAGTGAAATTGCTCAAACCCTCTTTACAGCTCGCAAATTAATTGGCGGCAATGCGCGGACAGTTGGCAAAAATCTGGGTTTTTGTATGCTTTAGGTGTGGTTTTGGGTATTTGTGTTTTTCTTGGGTATTTGGGTAATTTTTGGGTATTTGTCGAATTTCCGGAACTCTAACCTCAAATTATAGAAAAATAACATTAATTTTGAACTTAGACTGCCCGATAAAGTAGAAAAGCTTGTAAAAATAATAATAATGAGCCACTTTAAAAAAGAGAAAAAGTTGTTTTAGGTTTTTAATTATTATTTTTATTTTATTTTGTTTCTAATGAATAAACCGTTTCGTATTTTATATTTTAATGTAATTTTTTTTGAAACTAGGAATAAGAATATAAAGACTGATCTATCAGTACCTTTCTGTTTCCAAGTAAACTACATTATATTTTGTTATTAAATACTATATAAAAATTATCTCGATTTTGTCTCATTTTGTGTCTCAAATTCTTAGGGCTTTTGTATGGGTTTTTGTATAGGTCGTTGGGTGGGTTTTTTAAATGGGTTTTTCGTTTTGCCAACCCTGTTGCGCGGAGTTTAAAAAAAAAACCGCTGCACTTTTTATTGAGATGTGAAAAATTGATTTTTTGGAATTATAAATCACCAGTTATAATTATAATACTACAAACGATTGCTGACAACTGTAAATTGCAGATTTTCCAGCTGTTTAATTATATTAATTTGTGAACCGTAAACAGGGCTTCATAAATACCTTTAGCCCATGCTGGTTTCTCCTTAGGCTGCCCCTCTTCCTGAATTAGTGGAGGAATATCACCCCCATTTGTCGCCTGAGGTGCATTTGTTTCGCTTATAATAGGTGCCGGTGGCGGAATTGTTTTTGTAGCCATTAGAGGTTTAGGTTGTTCCGCGGGTTCTTGTTTGATAATCAGCTGATTTCCTTGTTGTTGGGGTGGTTTTTGGTTTTGTAAATACTTCTCGGCTTGTTGTCTCAAGTGTTGCTGTTGCATTTGCTAAATTAAAACGGAACACAATTCAGTTGTAGGAATGCCTTAACCGTTTCGATACAAGAAAGAATTATTAAATAGTCCTATCGTAAGTTGGGGCAACATTAATACTCGGCCTTCCAATGTACAGGGTGGCCAAATAAGAATGCGAGGTACTGTATCTGGAAACCTGTCCGTCGTAGAGGCTTGCGGTAAAAAAATTTATTACTAAAATGGCCACGAGAAAAACCTGGAAAATATTTTTAAGTTTCTGAAATGGCCGCTAGAGAGCGTAACTGCAATCTGAAATCTAAAAAAGCGATTTTTCTGTGAATTCCGCTATATTAACCTAACAAAAAAATACCCGGTCTTTGAAGACGACAATAATCTGAACCTTTTTTGTTTGACAATTTTTTCTGTATCTCTAAAAATGAAGTGGTGGGGGATATTCAATGGTTTCCGTAAACAAGCTCGCGAAAACCGCATCTCGATATCTTGTTCCTAACCTAAAATTTAGGCCAAAGAAAATTTTATACCATCAAAATTTTATTTTTTTAAGATAATTTTTATGGAATTATTTTTATTATATAATTTGTGGCCCTAAGGTGGATCGATTTAAAAAAGGAAGCTTTTAATGCCGCCGTAAATGCTCGAAATGCTGGCCATCACGATATAAAAAATATATATATCTCAAGATATCGAGATGCTGTTTTCGCGAGTTTATTTAGGCATCATTTAGCTACTTTTTCATGAAAAAAAATTCGAACCAATGCATTTAATTTTTTTAAGAAAATTAACCATTTCTGTCGGAATGTCGAACAAAGCGCTCAAGCGGTGATATGTGAAACTAACAAAACTTCAAATAGTATAATATTTGTAGCTGAAGAATAGCTCTTTTGAACTAACCCGAGTTTGTTTAAATCGGCTCAGCCGTTTCGAAGATACAGGGTGTTCTTTACGGAAACCTTTGAATACCCCCCACCACTTCATTTTTAGAGATACAGGAAAAATTGTCAAACAAAAATTGTTCAGATTATCGTCAACTTCAAAGACCGGACATTTTTTTGTTAGGTTAATATAGCGGAATTCACAGAAACATCACTTTTTTAGATTCCAGATTGCAGTTACGCCCCCTAGCGGTCATTTCAGAAACTTAAAAATATTTTCCAGGTTTTTCTCGTGGCCGTTTTAGTAATAAATTTTTTTACCGCAAGCCTCTACGATGGATAGATTTTCAGATACAGTACCTCGCATTCTTAGTTGGCCACCCTGTATACATGGTAAACACGGCCATCTTGAATTTTTTTAAATGGTAACAAAGGCCATGTGATACGTCATTAGAAACCTTATTTTTTTTCTCTTTCTTACTACCTCAATCATAAGTGATGTTAAATTTGAAAATAATGAAGAAAAAACTCTGTCAAATGGACCATATTTCACAAAAATAGTCCAATATAAACTTTATAATGACGTATCAGATGAACCATGTTACCATTTAAAAAAATTCAAGATGGCGATCGCACTCAAAACCAATGTCAAAGAAAATTTGTTCACCTCAAAATGTCAAGTAATTTCAAGTGGAAGCGTTCTCATTTTCACTTTCAAGAAACACTCTAACTTTCGTAATTATGAACCAATTTTGACCAAACTTAAAGGGTTTGTGTAACTCCAAAATTAGTGATAGAACGATATCACTTTTTTTTGCCGATACGATATATCGGCCGATACCGATATTTTACATGGACGTATCATGGGCAACAATAGGCATGGCGTTACTATTTAGACACGGTCAAGCAAAAACCGGGGAAGTCACCGAATAATTATAATTATTCCGTTGCAATTTTGTCAGTGATTGCCGATACGGTACCGATATTACCCGATAGTATCGTAAAAGATTACCACGGTTCCCGGTTGCAGTTGCAAGGAAACGTTTGGCATTGCGTCATCTATATCAAAAAGTTAAATTTTAAGTATTAAGTATATACTGTATTTAGAACCTGCTATATTAGGTATATTTTTTGTTGTTTTTTTAAACTTTTTTAGTAAAAATGTTAACTTTAGAATAAAACATTTTATTTTCTTTAATAAAGTATTTCATTTATGCACTGAAGTTAAAACAGCTAAAAAAATTGTTTGCCGATATATCGGCGCAATTACCTTGCCGATACGATACCGATAATCGGCAACAATTGCCGATATACCGATATCAATATCGGTATCGTTCTACCACTATCCAAAATAAGGCGGAAAGAAAGCCAAGCTGCACAAAATTTTTTTATTTTGGCGAGTGCCAATAACTCCTGAAATATCTGCATGACATTAATTAATACCCTTTATACAGGGTGTTAATACTAAGCCATTATACCCGAAAATGGCAGTTAGAACTCATTAAAACAAACAACTTTTCTTAGTTCCAATTTTTGTTTTGGTGCCCCAGTTTGAAGTTATCAGCATTCTTTTGTTTTTCCAAAAAATCGTCATAATTCCCTGATTTTAAAGACTTGAAAAAAAAAACAAATTTTCAAAACTACCTTTCAGCTCTCTAAAACATTTATATTTATTATTTTTTAGTTTTTCAAATAAGCAAATAGCGATCGACTTAGGAAATTAATCACTTTGCCGTACTAATCGAAGTATCCCCGATTTACCATATAACCACATTGTATAAACTACAGTAATAAATGTACGCCTCTAAACTAAAAACATGCTCCGTAATAAAGCAAGTTAACTCTCAAGAGACTTGCAGGCAAGTTTTCGAAAGAAAAGACTAAAACAGTCATTAACTAACGTAACGCTTGCCAAACTAATCTCCCACAGGTGTAACGCGTGCATCACTCATTGAGGAGCGACACTGCTGACTCCATGTGGACACAACTGTTAAAATTAACGCAAGAATAATAAATACCTGCGGCGCCGGCTGTCTTGGTGCGGGTCCATCTCCGCGGCCTCGCTCTTGCATCGTCTGTGGCAACTAGTCAGCATTAACTATACAAGCTAACCTTAACGGCCGTGTGACCGATATAGGTGTTACCCTTAACATGAGACGTTAACGGGTACGACACTATCTCAATTGTTCGAAACTTGCACAAGACCCTCGACCTTTACACGACAGCGCAAATTTTTAACAATCAAGATATGGCTTACGTTTAGCCAAATATAAGGAAAACTCAGAGAACAAATTGTTCGTCTCGAAGCGGATTTCGTCATTGAATCGAATTCGAGGCGACGCAATTGATAATTTGCTGAGCCTTTACGTAAATAAGGCTAAGCGATAAATGGTACCTATAGCAGCACCACTACCCAGGCCCTGCATAGTTCAGGTCCGTTATACCAGGGCTTGCCTTTTGAAAACAAAAAAAAATGTTAGAATTTGGAATGCCCGCCAATCGCTCGAGTGAATATGATGCGCAGGGCGTAGCAAATTAAAAACCCCCAAGGAGGGCAATTGAAATTAATGCAAATCGTGGTCGTTTTATACCTGAAAATTATGCTGCTGTTGTTGGGGTGGAGGCCTTCGGAGTGCTTGTCCTTGGTTTGCTCCACCTTCAAAGAGAGTATGTAAGATTGCACACAATTTTCCAGTCGAACTTACGGAATGCTCCTCTGCGTGTATTGTACGACATTTTACAAAATAACACTTTTTCTTGTATTACAAACGACACAAAAACACTTTCTAGGAGCTTCCTAGAAATGACGCCGCTTGGTGAAGCCTTTGCCCTCAAAAAGCGGAAATGATTAATAACCACAACAAGCGTCAGCCGTCAAATAAAGCGAGCGAAACTTGCAAAACAAGAAGCAATGCATACAATTATGTGTGATAAAAAGAGACACACAACGGAAATGCGCCATGTTTAAAGGAAAATTCCACGTTTGATCTAAAGCCGGGTTTACAATTGAATTAAATTCTAATGGAGTATGTACACAGTACAATCAGAATTAAACAATAACTTGCAGTCCAATCATTGCATGCAATAAGCATTGCTAGGTTGGCGACAAAACAAAACAACTAGATTTATCGGTAGAATTGCTCGAATCATGCATGAAATATTGCCTCGTTTCTATAAAAGTTGCATGCAAGTCTCTTCTTTGAACTGTGTAATTTCTCTAGCAACTTGGAACTAATTATTGAAATATAGCATGCCTTACCTCATCTCATACAAGATATGCCACATGTCGTGTTGCGACCCTTGCCCATTTTAATGTATAATATGTAGCTACACCCATATGTAAAGCTGCATTTAGATTTTCCCAAAAGAAGTGAGCGTAGCCTCCGCAGTATTGTACCATTTTAAACTTTAAACGGAAATATCACAGTAATGTTTTGTCCATTGCCGAGACTATCGCTCAATTATCTCTCCAGCCTCAATATTTTTCGGATCTCCAACGAGTCCTCAAGGCTTATACCGGGTTTATTGAGCTTTCAGGATCATTCCCGTTCAGTTTTCACTGATATGGTAACGAACTAAGACACTGCCATAATGGAATGGTCCCTTAGACGTCCCGATTTGGAATAGCGAAAAATCCCACTATTGTTTGGGAGCATCTGAAACATCAAATGTAAGTACCAAGAATTAACATAAATAGAAGAGAATTTCATTGGAAATCGTCATGATCTCCGGCACTACATATAATGTGCACGTTAAAATTTAAAATATGGTTAATCACTACGTCATTTTCAAGAAGTGGGACACTGTGCTCAAAGTATGAATGGTTTGAATAGTGGTCAAATGTGCATTTTATGACAATTTTTGTCATGGATTTGAAACTATGATTAAAGTTAGTTAAACTCCTCTCAATCACCCTGTACTACAATTAGTAATTTTTCTTGGTTTGATTGGCAAATGTGTTGGTATGACTGATAATCACAATCTCATGTGTTATTTGTTTATCTTATTTTTGCAATAACTTTTTAATAATTATAAAAAAATGTGCACTTTGGTTCTAATATTCGGTATAAACAAAATAAATTTGTTGAAATAATGGCGATCTTTGTGTTACCAAGAAGATGTGGTACGCCGCACTTATTAGATTTATAAGGCGAAGAATTGTCCTCGGAATAATATTTACATTGTCCCTCTTCTACTGCATCATTAGCTTCGTACACAAGGTAAATTCGTTAATTGTCGTTTATAGGTGAACGTTTAGTGTTTTCAGAGTGATTATTTAAATAACGATGTACCTCAAATTAAACGAACGAAACCTTTCATTTGGCGATCGTTACAAGTACACAATTCAAGCGCTGACGATTTTACTTGCCAGAATTCGGTGCAGGGAAGAACGTTTATAGTCGATGATAGAGGATTCGTCTGCCTAAGAGCCAATCTTCTTCCCAACGGTTGTTGTAACGAGCTACTTTCGACAACCGTCCAATACTTATGTGATACCTGCAAACCAAATAATTGCTGCGAAATTTACGAAAATTGTATATCGTGTTGTTTGCATCCAAATAAGGTCAGTACTTCGAAGAAATTATTGTACCGAATTTAGTGCTTTTAGAAGGAAATGTTGGAAAACGTTCTTAAAAAGGCCGCGGAACACAATAGTATGCTACTTGCATCTGTATCGGATCACTTTGAATTGTGCCTAGCAACATGTCGTACAAATTCGCAAAGTGTGCAGCACGAAAATTCTTACAAAGATCCCAAAGCAAAGCACTGCTTTGGAGACACAGCACCTGGTAGTAATAGTGTAGAAAATGAAGTTTTATAATTAGCCTATAGGTACATGTAATTTTCATAGAAATAGATTTACATGATATTAATAAATCTTTAATTTTGTAATTTTTCTATTTCGTGCTGTTCACGTTCTATACCAAAATGTACTTCATTTTTGAGACGATATGCCCATGCCATTCGTTTACTGCTGAAATGGATACCAATGCTGCCAGAATTGGAAATTGTAATTGCACCTGAAACAAATGGGTCTTAACTCATCAATTACTTTTGGGGTACATGTGCTATCAGATGTGGATCAGGTGCCATAGGCTATGCAAATCCTCCCTCACCCACTACTTAGTTTTCTCAATTATGAACTTCTCCAAAAGAAAAACTCGCCCCTGAGTTTTCATCCATAAGAAAAACCTGTATAAACTCATACTACTTTGTACTCAATTCCAGAATACCCTGAGAAATTTCACCTCCAAGAAAACTTACTCCCTGCAAGCAGTTTCCGAAAAACGGATTTTTTTACGAATGTAAAAACACAGCTGGGCAGTATTCGATTTTGTAAATACTTTTTAGTATTCAAATCCTTTAATATTCAAATACTTTGTAATTAAATACTTTTATGGAAGCAGTATTTGTTTTTGTAACTCAAATACTTTCACAAATATTTAGTATTCGAATACTTCGCAAAGTATTTGGATACTTCGTAAAGTATTCGAATACTTCGCATAGTATTTGAATACTTAACCTTCCTTTTTTACCAAAAATCGACTGCACCAAAATTTCTCGGGAAAACACTTTTTCTTATTAATTTTGTTGCGTAGAATCCAAAACAATTCGTACTTTTTCGATTAGACTTCTCAATCAAAAGTTATAGACTAGAAACCAATTTCGAAAAAAAATTCAAACGGCTGTAACTTTTGAACTAGTAGCCCAATCTTGGAACTGTTTGAAATTATGGATTCTACAGGCCACATTCTATAAGAAAATTTTTTTTCCGAGTCGATCTGAGACAATTTTTTTTTCGGGGCTCAAAAAAAGGCAGTGTATAACCTTCCTTTTTTACCAAAAATCGATTGCACCAAAATTTCTCGGGAAAACACTTTTTCTTATTAATTTTGGTGCGTAGAATCCAAAACAATTCGTACTTTTTCGATTATATTTTTCAATCAAAAGTTATAGACTAGAAACCAATTTCTAAAAAAAATGCAAACGGCTGTAACTTTTGAACTAGTAGCCCAATCTTGGAACTGTTTGAAATAATGGATTCTACAGGCCACATTCTATAAGAAAAATTTTTTTCTGGGTCGATCTGAGACAATTTTTTTTGCGGGCCTCAAAAAAAGGCAGTGTATTCTAAAGTTTTTGAATACTTATTTTTTTAAGTATTTGAATACTTTTCAATGTATCTGTATCTAGTATTCGCGTGTGCTGGACGTAAAAGTATTTAGTATTCAAATACCTTTGATTTGTGTATTTACTATTTAGTAGGTATTCAAATATGTACTTTTTGAAAGTATTCTGCCCAGCTCTGTGTAAAAATATGCACAGGGAGCTCCACTTAAAAACTCAAAACCTGTACCATTTCCGATGAAACCGGAAGTGAGCGGAAAAAGAAAAATATGCGAAAACTCTTCATGTACCATTTACCTGTACCAAATCTCATTTTGATACACCTACTACCTACTCCAGAAATTATGCCTTGTCTAATAGATTCGTTGACACCCAGTATACCTCTCCTTTAAGGTTAAAACTAGTACTGATGCAACAGACCTCTGCTTCCGCTTCCGCAAATTTGAAAACCAAAGTATACCAAACAGGACAAGGAGCGCTCTGATTGGGCGAACGGGACGGCGGCGTTTGTCATTCGTGCCAATCGTCAGACGTGCGCGATTTATTTGTCTTTGTCTACTTTCGTTTCTTTACTTCGCCGCAACAATTATTCTAGTTTTTATTTTAGTATTTATACTTCCGCCTCCGTTTCTGCGTCCGCTTCCGCAAAAAATATTTTGTCTTCTGTTTTGGGGTCTGCTTCCGTTACGTCACTAAAAACTAACTCTAATAAAAATTAACGTTTCAGAAAATTCCAACCCAAACAAAATTCTTCTCTTTTCCAATAAGCAAATTAACGTCCCAGGAAGTTTACCAAATCACAGAAAGAAACAAATGACTCCTACCATGCTACCGTTACATTACGATATCGCAAGTTCTCCGAAAAAGTTAAAAACCAGCCGAGTCTCATCAAGAGCTTTCTATAGCGAAATGTGTGTTCTGTCTCAAATTATGTACGAGAATTCGAGGTAACAGATATCGACTTAGAATCTCCCAACTTAAGCAAAATAACAAAAATGATCAGAGATAATGCAACTCCAATAAAAAGGCCCTTACCTGCAGTTTTATTAAACTGTTTCGTCATCGCTTCTACGGCATCTTCAGTAGCTCTCTGAGCCGTTTTTCCACTCGCAATTTCCTTAACGACAGCATGAGCCAAACAAAATCGAAGTATTGCCTCCCCATACCCTACTTAACAAGTAGATTAAGCGCCTCACAAAAAATACTACCTGTGGTCGATACGGCACCATAGCAATTGTCTGCATACGAACCGCCACCAATTTGAGAAGTATCGCTGCACCGCCCCGGTAATTTTCCCGAAATACCTCCAGTTGATGTAGCAACCGCCAGTAATCCATTAGAATCGATCGCGACGGCTCCCACCGTTCCCACTTCCCCTTTCTGCAAGGCTCTAGGTTTAGATCAGTGTGGGGAATTGAGTGGTACATACCTTCCTATCACATCCAATTTCTGTGAAGTCCCCTCCATGCTTTTTAAAGTACGCTAAAGCCTCTTTCGCCTGCTCGGTAACCAAAGACCCGGGTGGCAATATTTGTACGCCATGATTAATGGCAAAACGTTTGGCTCCATCCGCCCCCAACAAAACGTGAGGGCTCTTCTCCATAATTAGTCTCGCCAGGCTGATGGGATGCGCAACGTCTTTAACTATGGTAACGGCGCCTGCTTCGAGTCTATCACCTACCATTACACTCGCGTCCATTTCGACTTCCCCGTCAAGGTTTAGCACAGATCCATAGCCTGAAAAATTTGTAAATGGGGCGTGATCAATCATTGTAGGTTCTATTACCGGCGTTAAAAGCTGGATCATCTTCCATAACGCGAACGGCAGCTTCCACGGCGTCCAGTGCGGAGCCATGCGCCGCGAGTACCTTGTAACCGTCGTTAACCGCCTTCTTACATCCCGATAGTTTTAATGGCACCCTGGACGCTGGGATGTCACCTGCACCACCGTGCACTAAGACAATCGGTTCCATTCTATCGATGAATATTCCTGTTGACTGTTGCGCTTTTATCTTAAGCACTTGACCTATTGTTATCGGTGACGGAGATAAACAAGGAAATTGTGGTCGCCCTGTTGTAGATGACGAGCACCGCAAAACATTCGCCGATCTTCATAAAATGATTAATGATCGCGGTCTGAGAGAACTCTACCCGTATGTGGATATCTGCTTAGAAATTATCTTAACCATGGCAGTATCTAATTGTTCGGCCGAAAAGTCGTTTTCTGTGATGAAACGATTGAAAAGCTACCTTCGTTCAAACATGAGCAACAATCGTCTGAATTGGCAGGCGGTCTTAACAATAGAATCTGATCTGACGAAGAAATTGGACTTTGACGACATAATAAACACTTTTGCCAAAAGCCAATCCAGAAGGAAGCTATTGTAAAATGTAAAGAAAGACATTGTTTCATGTTTTATGTATGTTAATACATTATACATTATATTTCCTTCGTTTGTTACTATACCCAAAGGGGTCTACCTTTTCACCCCCCCCCTTCTCCCCACCCCTTGGTACTTGCTACGGCGGCAAATCAGGCCTGGCCCATAGGCGGCAAATTGCTAAATCCGCCTCTGGTCACTCATCATATAGACTTCCGCCTGATCTGGAAAAGGCACATTGAGCGAATAAGCGAAGAGGCCACTGTATGTCTATAGACATGTAGAATGGCTTTTGGGTGTACATGGGCCGTTAGGCCTGTGCACATGAGAACCTCCGTAGAGGTTACCGTAATAAGCATATATGTTACAGGAAAAGTAAATTCTCCAGTAAGAGTTGACTCTACCTACATAGGTAAACTTGACTCTTACTGATATTTTCAATAAAAGTTGATGAAAAGTGGAATTTTGATTAACATTTACTATATTAGTCACAATTGACTGTACCTAGGGAAAGTATTATTGCCTTGAGTCAACAAGCGTTGACTTTTTGCAAGGAAGCGGTGCACTGCACAGATTAACTACAATAATCTGTGTTATTAGGTAGTAGACCCTGTGCTAATTAAAAAAAAAACTATATAGAAATGATTTATCATTTATTACAGCAAGGTAGAGATTTGTGACAGTTCCAGAGCAAATCTTTCTTGTTACACAGGTACTTCTTGGATTTGCATTTAGTGTTGCAAGTTATTGTGGAGTTGCAACAGTCCTTGATTTATCCAAAGGGACTTCACTTTGTTGGATAATGTCCGTGAGACATTTACTAAATTGAGACCTGAAAAATACCATCATTCAAAATCCAATACTAATGAATGACAGAGAGGGCGAAGGGGCAAGGAGAAAAAAAGAAGATTTTGCCTTGGAAAATTACCTTGAGAAAAGCTGCTTCAGAAATCCATTTCTTGTTTCAATTTGATCGAATCTTCAGTACCATGCCCTAAAAATAGATGGAGCATCTCCTATCTCGCTATTAAAGACACTAAATATAGAAAGTATCGCAATCCATTGGGCTCGTGTGTTAGAGAGAGAACGCATAATTTTTGCCCAAAAATGGCGGAAGTTACCAGATTCTAGTAAGTTTAATGTTAGGGATTGTTCCACCTGTTTGGAGATATCTCAATGAATAGGTATTCTTTATTCATTGAGATATCTGTATATATTTTTATAAAAGTTAGGTTATAAAAAATGACAGCTATTCAGATTTTATTTGTCAATTTTTTTAAGTTGGCAGCAAATTTGCCCAAAAATGGCGGATGATTACGGTACTTTCTATATCTAGTGACTTTACTCGCTATCAAATCTCAAACCTCTTCAAAACTTAAGCTGGTCCATTAAAACTAGATTTTGGACTAACACTGGAACCCTACAATTAAAACCCTAAAAGAAAATCAAAAAGGTAACCCACTCCTTCTTGATAAACTAAAATGTACATACCTCTTATAAGAAGGCCAATTATTATAGTTGAATGGAACAATCATTGATGGACATTGTAGAATAACAGATATCAGTTGAAACATAAAGCAAAGGTACACTTCAATTACGGGAAATGCAAATGGCATACTTACGATAAATTGAAAAAAAAAACGCAATTATAGCCTTTCATTGGAGTTTTTGGGTGAATCCGTTCACAAGTATTCCCGAATCCCCAATTTAATTAATCGAATTGGAATTAAAATTCCATGCGTTCTCAACTAACGATTCAAATGAAGTGCACTTTGTTACAGCTCACAAAAGAACAAGTAAAATTGTCTACAATCAACAACCAAAAAGCACGGTGCCGGCAAAATGCCCGCTAAAATTGCCGTGGTTGAAATTCCAACAATAGATGGCGCTATCTATTAAACTGCTCCCCAAAAGTTACAGGGATCATTCAATAAATAATAAACGTTAAATAATGCTTGTAATAAAGAAAATAAACCATTACACACGATGCATAGGCGCCCACCTAGTACCAAGAAAGCAACAAAAAAAATGGGTTGGGAAATGTGAAAAGGACGAGTTTCCATACGAAACAGTCTCCTTCGGCCGCTCGGCATTGAAAAAGCCTGTAAACCTATCAAACAAAATATCTTTTATTTTTCGGTTTTTATCACATTTCAAATTTATTTTTCAAATACAATCGATAAAATTTACATAGATCCGAGGCGTCGAAAGTATTCCGATCTACATTAATGTTAAACATGTATAAAGTAATTTTTTTTTGTAATTTAATAAATAAACAATATATGCCCTCACGGCTGAAACAAGAGCAGATCTGAATGCACCCTAGATATTGTAAAAGCAGTCTCTAAGTGCACGCAGAAGACTCAAAAAGTAGTGTAATCCTATTTTTATGATACATAATAATTATATTAAAATTAAGTTTTATCACAAGCCCTTCAATCGACCGTTACAACTACGGCGACACTCACACACTTTTTATCCCGTAGTTTGTTTATAATGTTTAGTTTCTGATTTAAATAAAATACACTGTATAAATAAAATTGGAAGACAACTAAAAATTTGCAGTAAATCTTAAAGTGCGTTATTACAATTACATAATTGGTGCAGGTGCAATAATAAAAGCAACAGATCACAATTAAAAATTCACGGGTCGCTTTTTACGATCGTTTTTCGTTGACTAGATGGAATAATGAGTAGAAAATTAGACCGACATACAGTGTATTTCCAAAAAAATTAGTAATTACCTACTAACGTTCAAAAATTAAAATTACATCATAGGAAAGCACATGTAGAAGAAAGTGCTTACGCATTCTTTTTTTTGAAACAGCAATTACATTCCATAAACGCAGATTAATAAATAAAAATAAATTCCTATTACGCAGCTTTGTTTCACAGCGCATCTCTATGCCAGACCCATGTCTTTTTCGTGTGATCGAAACGATGAGCTAGCCATTGCTGTTCTAATAATTGATATCTATCTCTGCTTAAGTATAGAGGTTTTCCACGCCTGCGCACACAGAATTAGTTACGCCCACTAATTATAAACTTACTTTAGATCGCGATCCTCCTCTTCAAATTCATCTAAATAAAGTGAACCCCATAGGCAAGCCCGTCGACCGCGAATCACGATTGTATAAGTCGACGTAACGACTAAAAATATGCCTGTTCCGGCGCCACACTCTTGCGAATGCGCGACGGCCTCGCAAACGTTCTGTTGCTTGCAGCAGTTCTGTTTTAGACACACGATCGTTCCGCATAGCAAACAAATTGTGGTCTCCTGAGGAATCGAGTGGCACTGACTGCACGGCCTCTCGTGGTAATACTAAACGTTAATGTGTGTGTGAATTGTGACTGTGGCGTGCAAAACTTACCGTGAATATTTTCTCATATTCCCTAGGTAATTCTAACAATTTCGGCGGATGCCACGTTATATGCTGGTCGACTAAAAACGATCTGGCGGCAAACTGGCTTTTATGAACGAAGGCGGCCAACTGCACGCACCAAGTTTGCGGCGAGACTACCGTTACGTTTACGTCCGATGGCCAATTTAGAGCGACCGCGGCGTTGAAACAATCCCAATCCATACCCTCGGTCACGAGCTCTAAGTAGTAAACTAACCTCACAAACTCGCTTTGCGGCACTCTTATGTCGGGCAGCGGTTGATTGTAGATATGGTGGCGTAAAAGTGCGGAGATGCGCAGGAAGGGCAAACACAACTTTTGAACTTGCTGCTCGAGGGCGACCATGTTTAGTTGGGTGGCCTGAGTGCAGCTCATACCGTCGTCTTCCATATACAGATCGGTGTTTCCAAGGGATTCGTTTATTAGCGACAGTGCGCTTGCGAGCGAATCGATTCTGTCGGTTTTAACTCTCTCACATACCTTCTGACGTTCCGCGCCGGTTAGTCCGCATGACACTTGAGTGACAACTTGATAGTATAACAGGTTATACATCATTTTCACTACGGTTGTGAAATATGCTAAAAGTTCAGAGTTAGTTTATCAGAATGAGTGAAGTTAGTTGTTGAGCCAGGCAGATTCTAACACACTTTCCCTCCGCCAGGTGTATTATTGTACCGTGTGTCTCATTTTAGTCGAGACGTAGATCCGTTTTTTACTGAGATACAGGATGGAAATGAAATGTTTTGACTTTTTTGGACGTTATGGCTACCCATGTTAAGGCTGATTCTCACTATAAACGTTTCCATGCCATATCCTTTCCATAACCATTCCGTAAATTATTATACCTATGAAATTGACCTTTAAGTGATATGTGCGTAAGACATTCAGCCGCGCGCTAATACACATTCTCCTTTCCGTTCACATATGGAAGGCGAATGTGTATTAGCGCGCGACTGAATGTCTTACGCACATATCACTTAAAGGTCAATTTCGTAGGTATAATAATTTACGGAATGGTTATGGAAAGGATATGGCCTGGAAACGTTATGTATAGTGAGAATCAGCCTTAAGATAGAAAAAAGGTAAAAACGGCTTATTTTAGATATTTTACGTAGAATTCAGTGGCGTAGTAAAAAAAATTGTTTGGACCACCTTTTCTGATATGGTACTTCTTAAAACTGCATATCTTAACGTCAATTTTTTGCATTTTTTTTGCCTGATTACTTTGATGTATGTATGCCCCAAAGTTTATCCACATCTCACACTTCATACATACACATTTTAAATCATTCCAAATATATCGAAAATCGGAGACGTTTAAATTGCACTTTGATTACGAAAAAACTTAAATAATAAGCGTGCGAAAGGTAGAGTTTGGCTTTTTTATTTCTATGCACTAATACCTATAACTCGAAGTTTTCTTTTTGAGAATTTGATACAAGTCCTGAATGAAGTCGCGGTAAATACAAACTTCATTATCCTGAAAATTTCCATACCATGAGAGGCAATTTTATACCAAAGTCAAAAGGTCTATCCGAAATGCGATCCAGTTTTAAATTTTCCATGAAGGGAGCTAAACAATATTTTTCACTTTGGAAAAAGGTTGCAGGTCTGGCCGTTTTTTCTGTATTATCCACGATTTTACGAGAAAAGATCTTATTCAATAACTCTGTAACTGAGCTACACAGGTCAATTTCTCAAAAAAAAGAAAATAGCAATGCTGCTAGTGTTATGGGCACTTTTCCTTCTACAAAGCTGACTTCCAAATTTCCTGACATATATTCCTCGTTCAGAATATCTGTAGAGAAAAATTTAAAGGACGCTGTACTAAGACCAGACTTATGGCCCTCAGGCGTTCTCATTAACCGTTTTTTCTGGAAGCGTCCGCAGGCAGAGGACCGAGGATAACGCAAACCATTTTAACAGCGAAAAACTGTATATCGGTGTTCAATATTAACATACAGTGTTTACGGTATAAGGTGAATGAACTCGAGGCGTTCTTTGGCGACATTAATTCGACCATTCATTTTATCTGTGTAAAGTGAGCATTGGCTCACTAATTCAGAGGTAAATGGAGGGTTCCAAGTGGGGCCATGGCGAATTGCGTCTGCTTTTTGTAGATCGGTGAGTGTACACGGCGGAGTCGCAGTCTTGATAAACTCAAAGTTAGATCTAAATTGTTCTGCAATTGCCGATATTAGTGCATTGTCATGTGAGTTACACTGTGGATTGTCAGCAATCTACTGTGCCACGTATAATGTAGTGATCATATCACTGTATAGATCACTGTCGGGAGACTTTGACATATTTTCTGACACCCTTACTTCGATGCTACAGTCTTTAAATCACACCACGGGTATTATAATAGCAGGGGATTTCAATGTAAACTTTAACACTCAAGTCCCTAATGCATTGTTCATCACAAACTTGTTAGCAACTTATGGGTTTGTGCAAACAGTTAAAGAACCTACTAGACTCTTTTATTTTTTTTATTTTTTTTTTATTCTGATCATCAGGGACAAATGTTAACAGTGAGTAGAGACAGTAAAGTGCGTGATACCCAACTAGAGTCAAAATGTTATAGACCTATTACTAAAAGGAGTAACAATTCCCTGTTTAACATGTTGAGTAATTTTAGTTGGCATTACCTAGCTGATATTAACTTAAATGTAAAAGCTAAATTTAATATTTTTCACGGCAACTTTCTCGATGCGTTTTCAATTGCGTTTCCGAAACGAAAGCTGTCGACCAGAAAGCGTGACTCCGGAATTAAATGGTTCAACAAAGAAATTAAGTTGCTGAGAGACTGGTTTCACTTTTGTACTGACTATTACAACCAGTATAAAACGAAACCACTGAAACGCATACGAAATACTTGTCGTGCGCAGTATAGAAATGCTATTAAGAATGCGAAAATTAATGCTTGTGATAAGGTAATTCGTAATTCTACAAACCCATGCAAAATGATGTGGACAATGATTAACAATCAGAGAAACTACGTTAAAACAACCAACTCCCTAAACACGAGAGCTGACCAAATTAACAAACATTTTATAAGCGTCGTGGAGGACAAAGTGAAACAGCCACTAGCATCCACTGTTGACCCTCTTGCTATGGCTAGTGTCAAATTTAGTGACGTTCACCTTCAAATAAAGGAAGTGACTCCATGCAAAGTAAGGGACGTAATCAAGTCGTTAAAGAGAAGTAACACTAAAGATATTTATGGAATCTCATCCTGTATTATCAACTATAGTATTGATCAACTAGTTTTGCCCTTAACGAAATTGGTCAATCTTACACTACTCTCCGGATATTTTCCTGATGAGCTGAAAGTAGCACAGGTCATTCCATTGTTTAAATCGGGAGATTCAAAAGATATAAAGAATTATCGACCAATATCAATACTCCCCACGTTCTCAAAAATATACGAAAAAATAATCTACAATCAAATTGCCGATTATTTTGAATCAGATAATCTCTTACATCAGAATCAGTATGGATTCAGGAGTCAAAGAAACACGATTAGTGCACTCTCTAAATTTGTAAATAGCACTCTAACCTGCTTCGAAGAGAGTCAATATTCACTAGAACTGTTTTTAGACCTATCGAAAGCCTTCGATAGCGTCTCTCATGAAATATTGCTAAGTAAATTAGAAATTATGTACAAGTTTGACACGAATAGCCTAAAATTAATTAATTCGTATCTGTCTGGCAGATTTCAGCATGTGGTGTACGATGGAGTGATGTCTGATAAATTACCTATTAAGAAAGGCGTTCCACAGGGATCAATTTTAGGCCCCTTATTATTTCTCGTATATTTTAATGATTTTGCGCAGTACATGCAACCGCACGCTGATTGCTGTATGCAGATGACTCCACTTTAACTTTACAGCGCAGCACCTTAGAAGAAACTTTAGTTTTAAAAGACAAATTAATTTCGATTCCTTCGGAATGGTGCACATCCAATGAATTAATATTAAACACAGATAAAACTCAGAAGTTGCTCCAAACGTTAAAAAGGCATTCTTATGAAAATCCCCAGTCAGTAAAATCTCTGGGGGTGCATGTCGACGGTACTTTAAACTTTTCAATGCACGCCAGCTATATTTGTAAAAAAATAAGCAGCAATATTTATGTGCTGCGACGTCTTAGTAACAGTTTATCAAAACAAACATTAGTAGCGGCCTATTATGCTCTAGTACACTCAATAATACAGTACAGTATACTAATTTTGGGCAACTGTGCTGCAGTAACAGATGTTTTTGCACTTCAGAGACGAGCTGTAAGGATACTTGACTCTGTACCCTACAGAGACAAATGTAGGAAATCATTCCGTTCCCTTAAAATATTAACGCTGCCATCCATGTACGTGTTGGAATGTATTTTATTTGCTAAAACGAACTATGCCAAATACAAAATTCAATCTGAACTGCATAATTACAATACTAGGAATAAGAACCACATTAGAATGGATTACTGTAGATCAGCAAAAACTCAAAATAACCATGACTACCTATCTCAAAAAATATTTAATTTACTGCCTGAAAATGTTCAAATGTATAACAAACAATAATTAAGAAATACCTATTTGATAAGGCATATTTTTCAGTGCAAGGATGTTTAACCGAAGGCTTTACTAATATTTTAGACACAGGTGGCATAAACTGAAGTTGTGTTGTTTGTCTATAATATGTGTGATGTAGTGTGTTATATATTTTAATTTTTTAGAAACTAATTGACAAATGTAAGTGCTATTACGCATAAACAGGAATAAAGATAAAGAATCTCTTTAGACGAAATTTTCTTCCTCTCTTAAATCTTGAAACTTTTTTTAAATGTTCGAAATATTTTATATAATATTTAAATAAAATCAATTGATACTAAAAAAAAATTAAATTGAGTTCACACTACATTCTGAACCTAGGTACCGCTAGATATACTATTATAAATCTTTAATTAAAATTTCTTTAAGTATGGTGACATATAAAAACTAAAGCTGCTAATCGTGAGAGATGTTGCCCCATACATTTCGATAAAACAGGCACCTGCACAAAGGGTTGTTGCTAACTTTGAAGTTTGTTCCACTCATCTGTATCTGGGCCGCTATTTTATCACTTTAATGCTGCCATTAAAATCACGCTCGTAAAGTTTCCATGAAGGAAAGCGAGTTGAATCCGTCTAGCTCAATCGTTCAACAGTACTTACTTTGATCTAAATGGAGTGGCAAGAGAAGCACAAACTGAAGTAAAAGAGCAATCGGATCTCTCAGTAATAAAGGTACCTCTACTTCGACAGCTGCTAGTGCATTTGCTGCAGGTGGTGATGCAGGTAGTCCGCAAAGCTGCTGAAACGTAACGCCAGCCGGCCACAAGGCCAAGACTCGAGCATGCACAGCGAGCACGTGCAAAAGTGGAACGATGCAGTCTCGTTTAGGCAAGAGAGGATTAGGGGGTTCGCTGCTAACAGAAACTAAGCTTCCACCTCTCTGCACTAACTCGACCTCCAAATTGGTACGCGCTATCGAAGTCACAAAGAGGAAAAGTGTTTGGCAGCTTGGCTTATCACTTTTTGGTTTGAAAATCGGTTTCAGCTGAGTACTACTAGTCATGTCTTCCATTGCTTTACCCATTGCCTCAGAAAGGCTCGAGGTACTCTAAAAAAAAATATTGAGTACCCCAAAAAGCGAATATGCGCGCGATCTTACCGGTGCCTGTTTATTTTCCTTCAAAAAATCGTTAAGCTCGTGTAAAATGTCGGACATGTTCGCTGGACGGGACCTAACAATCTGCGCGCAATCGCCTAGCTGTGGTGATAACGGGAGAACGGAATTCGCTAACTGCCGACAAAGCGGGCACAAGTACTCCCCTCTGCAATAAAAAATATTGTAGTTTGGCACCACTGTAGAAAAGCGCGCGCATACTTGTCCGGTGCTAAACTTTGTTGTCGTGTGCTCTGCTGCGAACGTAACGATTGCAAATACGATTTTAAACAGTCTAAATGAAGGTGATGACCGCAGGTCTGCACGTGCACGCCACCCTCCCAGCCTAAATTAATCGAAAGTAGCCACGACTGCAGATCAAAGTGCCTATGCATCTCCTCGACCCTTTTATCAAACTCTGAAGCTAGAGTGTCGTCTTTTCGGAATACTTCCTTGTCCTCCTCGCACGTCGGCAGCACCACGCGTTCACTGTAACCCTGCCGCCGTCGGTGACCCACGACGCTGGTCGCCTGAACGAGAACGACTAGACCCATCGGTTTGTCCTCGGTACTTGCGGTACTTTGGTTGCAAATAACGCAATCGTATTCTTGCTTGCTTAGTAAGACTTCTTCGTTGGCCCATTCCATATCTATTAACGACAGGATTTAACTAGTAAATAATTGCAATAATTGGGAAAATGCCACTTGCGGCGAACCTTTACATCAATAACCTTTAGACAACTAAACAATTTCAAGGTACGTACCACTGGTGACTTCATCAGTTTCCATCCGTTCCATGAACTGCTTTTGCTTGGATGCGAATTCCGCCATTAATTTCTGTTGCCGCTCTTTCGCGCGCCGCCTTCGCTCCTCCCGCTCTTTATTTTCGCGTTTCTTCTGCTCTTCTTCGCATTCCGGTTGTGGAGGCCAAATCTTCTTCCTTGTTTCGTTTATGAAGTCCTTACAAGCGGTATCCAAGGTGGCGATTTTGTGCAGTAGCTTTCCGATGAAGAACGGTCCGTCGCCAACCATGCTCTCGTCCTCGCCGTCGGCGCTCGCGTGTGGCTCGTCGGGATTATAACTATCAGGTACAGCGGATAGGTGCGAGTGAAGTTTGAGAAGTAGGGAGATGATGCTCTCGTTGACTATCACAGTTGGAGGACTTGTTGATGTTCCCTGTGAATTTATTAGTCTCACACATGGAGAGGTCAATGGATCTCACCTCAACCGATCTTCTCTTGTAAATGTACGTCTTTCTGATGGTGGATGTGGAAGGCATAAGACTATACGCGGTGGAGTTAGAGCCTGCCGGCCAAGGTCCCGATCGGCTCACGTCCGTACTGGAGGCAGTCCACTGACGACTGCAGCCACCTCGATTCGTAGGTCTAGAAGCAGGACGCCCCACTTCATTACCGGCCAAGACAGCTGGGTGCTGCACCGCCGGTGGCAATGCGGGAATCTGCCTTTCTGTCTCCTCTGTAACGTTACAATCATTTCATTGCCTTAACTATTGCACAAGCACAACTAACCAGGTTCAGAACGCATCCTGTTAGGGACAGCAACGGTCATGGAATCGCTCGCATTGGATTCGTCAGCAGTGGCGTCCGCGGCGGGAGGCAACGCAAGTATCGCTTGACCAGTACCGTGTGAGCCTCTATTTTCTGGCCCAGGTAAAGCCAAGTTGTCATATCCTAAAAGTTCTTCATTTCTTAGATGGGGTACCAAGACCATCGCTTCCGGTTGCGGTACCCACTCCGCCTCCTCTAACATGAGTGCAATGTTAGGCCCTTCCGCCGACAAGTCAGATATTTCGTTATCGGCCTCAGATCCCTCCCACTCAATCTCGCCTAAGAACAATCACTTGAATCATTCATGGAAACAAAAAGACACTTACTGTCCGAACTGTAAGTAAGCGGCGAGACTTCAGGTTCGGGCGTCAACATAACCCGATTAATGACTCCTCGCAAATTCTCAGTCAGCGAGTCAGACGTGAACCACGATGCCAAATCCATATCGTTCAAAACACGCGACGGTTGCGTATTGGTCGCGCACATTCTCGAACTCTAAAACAACGGCTGCAAAGTGACACTAAAACAACTGACTATCATACCTCGTCGTCAGTATTGTCGCAGGTAATGACGGCCATTTCCAGTAGGAATATTACTAGAGCCATCACGTGCTCGGAAACGTGCCCTCGTACCGCCTTATATAAAATAACCAAGGCGGCGGCGTGAAAGACACGGGATTGAAGAATATTGCGAGGATCGCTGTAGGCGGCGCCGCAATCGGCGGGAACTCGAAATGGGGGCCAGAGACTCGTGGTGCCCGCTCGCAATTTGTTTGCGTGACGACAACTAGAATTACAAAAATTAGGGCACTGGCCTCATTAGCAGGGGGAGGGGGTCGAATTTCAGTGAACTTACTATTCAGTGTAGCGATCCATGGACGTTTGAAAATCTCTCCTGTGCACCGCCCGCAGTAGAACGTGTATGGGATCGTATTGCTTCTCCCAAACCTGCGCCTTGGGTACATACATGCCCTGCTGCATGTTTCCGGTCGCCTCTAACGCCGGAGCCTTATAATCGGCAACTTCGGCGAGAAGCGACTCGAAATCGCGACTCTGCGAGGTCCCGCAACGTTCCGGCATGAGCTCCATCAGCTGCGAGTGAGTCTTGTCGCCCATGCACAGCAGCGTTATCATTTCGAGGCGATTCAAAGCGGTCTCGGAGAGCCCTACGATATGACTTAGATTCTCTCCAACTCACCGAACGACTTACCTAAATTAGTTCTAACACTGACTAGAGTTGCGAGGAAAGTGAGGAAGCTCTCCAGCATGGGCGTGTCATGTTCGCCGTCCAGGTACGCGTTCTGGGGCGCGTGGTAGGGGGTGAGACTCATCCATTCCTTAATGTGAAATCTGCAAGCAGCGATTAAGACGCGCGCGTGGTTCGTTTTGAACGTACTTGTCAATGACGATGTTTAGAAACGAATCGGCCGGTATCCTCGTTGAGCAAATTTGGAGAAGGTAGAGATCCGCGTCTACCATCGAATTGCAAAAGTTGCACTGAATGTAGGTCATCGCCTGTCCCTTTATTTGCAATCCGTTTCTCACCCATAGCCCATTTAAAATTTCGTAAAATGCCACCTGTTGGTAGAAATCAACCATTAGGGAACACAATGACTGCAATGGAAGTTTAAAAAACTGACTCTCTCACATACATGAGTCTGTGGTAGAAATACTGAATTATATTTTTAAGAGTACATAAGGGCTTATTATTTTTAAGACAAACTCAGTACATGTTAGAATGTGAAACCTTTTCTATAAATGTTTTCAATTTTTTTTAATACTTAAGGGGTGGATTTCACCGTGTTAGACGGACGGTAAGTCATTGTCAATTTTTTAGGAGATACTTAGGGCTTTGAATATAAAATTAGGAAGAAGTCTAGCCTAATGGGAACTTGTGGTTCCGTGACAATCGGGGGAGAGGTAAGGTGTACCTCTCCCACTTTTATAAAATATAATCGGTTTTAGAGCGAATATTATGCTCCGAATTGCGTTTGCACTGAAGATTTCAATACTGTAATCTTTTGTTGGTACTTATAATAGTCGCGCGCACTTTAAATGAAAACGCTGCCGATACCAATTGGGATACACAAAATTTTGTAGAACAAAAATTAGAGACAATTAAATGTACTACCTACAAAAAAGTCCGCGACGGCATATATCTATCTTTAATCGTTTAGCCATATCAACCATTCAAAGTTGCGCATCTTGATTGCGTTGGCATTCATAGTATCTTTGATTGCTTATCATATATTAAGGGTTGAAGATACATATATGCCATCGTGGACTTTTTTGTAGGAAATTAAATTCTCTACAATTTATCTTTTATAACTTTTTTTGTATCTCTTTTTGTTTTCTCAGCGTTTGTAAAAAAATGTACGCACATCTTAATTTTGAACTTTTAATAAACTTTTTAGTTAAAAAAGAATCTGGTGTAGGTACGACTCGAACCCTTGACCTACATGTTGTTATAATTTCAGGTGCTTTTGGGGGTTCCGGTTGGGATGATCGAAGCGTTGTAAAAATTGAAACTGTCGTTATTTTTTTGACATTCTGCTCAAAGCGCAAGGGAAATATGCGAAAATGGGAAATGAAAAAAATGATGTTCTTATTTTTATTTTTATTATTAGTGCAATTCACATATTATCGAGCTCCTTGCGAGTATAATAAGGAAGGCCCTTTTGACATCTCCGTTAGTTATGAACTGAATTGCATGAAATTCGATATGGGCACAGCTTTATCAATATAATACGCAATGGCAAAAGTTGAGCCAAATCGATTCAAAATGCATAGTGTTCTTTTGGTATCTCGGCCATATATGTATGAACCGAATTGCAAACTTTTTTAAATTTATAAATGTATTTAAATGACATTTGATACATATGCACCTGGAATAAAAGCAAATGTAACGCCATTTTCAAAATTTGGTTTTGCGCATGCGCAGTGCTCGTTAACTATCGCCCCGAGTGAAAAAATGAAGAGAAGTGATATTTTTTATGAGCTTTTCCATTTTTTTTCCGGTGAGGTATTCAAGTGAATTTGTTTAGAATCGAATTGTCTATGTAGACCATACATTTAGTATGGAACGTTCATTCTTAATTGTTATTGTTTTTTATGGAGAAATATAAAAAAACGCATTTCCGAAAATTAACAATCTGTTATTACTGAGTAAAATTCATCCGATCTTTTTGAAAAGCCGTATTTGGTCCCTTCTTTTGGTAACAAAACAATACGACAAACCCGATCACCGTAGGTATCATAGCCATTGATTAAATAAACAAACAAATTGGATAACTCTCATAGCGTTCTAAATTTTTGTACAGATGGTGGAACCCCAAAGCAACCTTTTCCAAAAGTTGTCTCGATGATTTGCAAATTGACGGACGGATTTCGACGTATTTTTTTTTAATATTAGGTAATTTTCCGAGAGGTTTCTGTTCGCCTATTATGGAGTCACATTTCTTGTTATATTTCGGAAATTATTTCATTTGTTAACTAGCAAAAGTCTTCGGATTTTGAAAAAAAAAATTTGACAGTCCGTCGATTTGCAAGAATCATCGGGACAATTGTTGGAAACGGTTTGCTTAGGGTTCCACTACCGGAAAGAATTGGGGGAGAATCTGGGAGTCACCCACTTTGAAAGACAAAGCATGGATTTTTTAATTTGTATTTTTAATTAATCAATGACTATGATACCTACGGTGATAGGTTGCCGTATTGTTCCGTTATCAAGCTACGGATAATATAAAAGATAGGATGAATTTTGCTTAGTAACAGTTTGTTAATTTTCGGGATTACTTTTTTTTATATCTTTCCCTAACAAAACAATAACTTTTGAAAATGAATGTTCCATACCAACTGTATCTTATAGAAAATTCGATTCTAATCAAATTCGTTTCTCTTCATTTTCTCTCAGAGCAATAGATAACGAGATAATTAAAGTCAAATGCAAAAAAGACGAAATTTTCCCATTCTTTCTTCGTTTTTTACGTTTTATAACAATTATACAGGGTCTATCACACTGCGTCGGTCTTTCGTAGTTCATACCTGGTAAAAAATAGCAAAAAATCTTTTGTGCAAATGTCAACTATAGAATGTTATGCATATACAGAAATTATTTTTGAATGTACAGAGTGTCTCATGTTTACGGTGTCAATACACAGCTGATTTTTTTAAATGGAACAGCATGTTTATTTTTAGCTAATTCAATGTCATTTTTTAACCTCTTCAGGCCAAATTATTAATTTTTTTTCGAATAATTCTCTATAAACCAGCCCCACTTTGATAAACCGTAGCGACCTTGATTTTAAAGTTAAGAAATAGAAATCAATAATTTTAATCTGAATAAAAGGCAATACTTTGGTAATGAGAAAGTTGAATTTAATGATACAGAGTGTTTACAAAAAATTGTAAAATTTCTAGATTTCAAAGTGCTATAACTATTTTTATTCAAATGGAACTACCACTATTTTGTTTCTCTATTCGATGGTCTGTTGTGCGCTCTTCAATTCTTAGAAGGGATATCCTGTGCCTGAACCCCGTAGTTTTTAAGTTATTCAATATTTTTCACTAAACCGTTACACATTAATGAATTACATGTTTATAAACAGGAGTAAACCGTGATAATAAAAAACCAATTAATTGTTTGCTGCAAGTGTACTCATTATTTCCTAGTAAAATAAGATTTTTTAAAAAGACTAGTTCGAAATTCGCCTTTTTAATTAAATTAATCTTATTTTACTACGAAATAGGGAGCACATTAATTGCAGCAGATAATTTACTTGTGTGTGACACTGACTTACTGGAATTCTTTTGGTTTCTATTATTACGGCTTACTCGATCCTGTTTATAAACATGTAATTCATTATTGTTTTGTGAAAAATATTGAATAACCTAAAAACTAGGGGGTTTAGGCACAGGACACTCCTTATAAAACTTAAATAGCACACAAAACCCTATCACGTACAATAAAATTGCTCACAACCTTTGAAGTTTAGATTCAGACGAAAGGTACCCACATTTACTTTAAAACGTTGTGAAAACGAAACTTCGTACAGAAAAACTCATCAACATAAGAGACTGTAACAAATCAATGAGTGCAAGTGGGAGAGTTCAGGCTATCTTTGTCCTACACATAAAACGCTCTGTAAGAAGGAAGAGCAGTGACTGCGTTTGGAAAGCGTGCATATAAATCCAAAGGTACTTTTCACGTTCATTTCGTGGCTCCATCTATCGCTCAAAGTACTTTTAGAGACCCACGCGAAAGTACAGGCTTAGACTTCTTCCTAATTTTATATGTAAGCTTAGGGTCAATGCGAATAGCCTAATGCATGTTAGAATGTGAAACATTTTTTCTAAATGTGCTGTATGAATTTTTGTATACTTTGTGGGTAGATTTCACCCTGTCACTTGTCAGACGAGCAGTAAATGATTGTCAATTTTTTGGAAACTACCTACTTCAAGTCAATGCGAATAGCCTAATACACGTTAGAATGTGTAACCATTTTTTCTAAGTTTGCTATATGAGTTTTTATACTTTGGAAGTGGATTTCACTAAAGTCTAGTTTGAGTATTATATCAATTAAAGGTGTACAGGATGTAACAGATCAGGATGTAAAACAATGATAGTAGAGGGCACAATAGATTTACAACATGGTTGGCTACAGTTGAAAAAAAGGGTAATTTCTTGCAAAAATTTTGAAACGCTCTGTACATTTTCCATCTTAAAAAAATGAGCTCCACCATTTCATATTCTGAGTAAAAACAGGAACAATTTGACCGTTGCCATGAACCTTATCTTAAAATGATGACCTCACTTTAGGTTTAGATGAATGAATCAAAAACAAACAAAGCACACAAACAGAAACATCGGTGGGGCAAACGACAAAAAAGTGCACCAATCGCACGCGTCGCTCTACTGAAGCAAATTAAGTGAATGAAGGTGGGTGCAGTTGAAAGGTGTGCTTCCTTCGCAAAAAATGCGGTCAATTTTCAAATATGTTTTGGTAACAGTTCTGTTAATAACGTCCGTCGAGTTAATCTCAATTAGTGATGTGATTGATGTAATTGAAATCGGTAAAGATGTAACGCTTTCATTGATAAAGGCGTGGAAAATCGTGGAGGAGCATTTGGACAGCTCCGATATTTCCCTGCCTTTCGTTCGGCAGACCGAAAGGAAACTGTTCCAACAGATTAACCTAATTCAAGATCAGCTGAAGGAGGTTAATTCGCACGTGGACACTGTCGGATCAAACATATTAATGTCCATTCTCCACTACACGCCGAATCAGATGAAGCTGCAACTACGATTACACAGCTTACTAGATTACATCACCAGAATAAAAGTGTTTTATCGCCACATGGGCAACTACGTTAACGGTAGCGATATTGAGCAATCCACGCTTAAGGATTTTGCGAAAAATGTGATATCGCACGATATCGGGTCGGTCCAAAACGTCTTGGAGAGGATACACGTCTTCATCACGTCGCCAAACAGCGAGTTGGCCGATAACGGAGTTCTCGACCTGATTGCGGCCTCGTTACAGGTATCTTAATAGCTTAATCCACAATAATTAGCAATTGAACGATACTTGGAGTAGTGAGTCGTAAAATAATAA